GATACTACTAGGGTTGAACTTAAACAGGCTACCTGAGATCGCAAAAAGTTTATGAAAGACACTTTTTTAAGTTTTAATAGTCTTAAATATCATATGTCATCATGAAAAACCTAAAAACAATACCTAATTTTGTTTCTAAGTGATATTTCTAGAAATGACGTTTTTGAGATTTTTTGTTGTTTAGGGTCGTTCACAAACAAGTCCTAAATTCATGACCAAGATAATACTAAACTACAAAGTATTATATATCCTTAGAAAGGTCTAGACTTAAGCTACAATAAACTGTAAACAGAATTAAAAAATATTGAGGTACACAAAAATAAAAGCAGTTTGAGTGATGCGAAAACCATATAAGTCGTCAGATATGAAAAGTACCCTATATATCGGCAGATTTTGAAGTTTTTGAAAAAATTTCTTCGCAATTTGTTTTTAAACATTGTTTGTCATCGAAAAATAACACAAAACTCATTTTTTGTTGTTGTTTCGTAACTTTTATAAGATATTTTATTTTTTGTTGAATTATTCTACTACTTATTTAAATCAATTTATCTCAAAAAAGTACCAAACAAATTTTGATGTTTATACATTTTTGAAAACTAGAAGACAGAGACTAAAACACAATGTGCTTATATGACTGAAAAGTGGCCATTTAAGATCTTTGCGGCATGCTTGAATATATTTTTCATAGAATTTTCACACATTTCTTCCCATACTGGTACCAAAACTACAAAATTACAAATTTTGTACATTATCAAAACAAAGCTCTTACATGACACTATTAGAAACCGAAAAGCGTTTCTTAATATCTTTAACTATTAAAAAGATGTGACAGTTTAAATCAGACGTGAAAAAATCAAAATTTTCACTCATTTTCAACTTCAAACAGCCACAGAATTGTAAAAACAGCATCAAATTACCTGAAATTTGGCATTGAAGTCAATTTTGATGTCCTCTACAAGAAAAAATAACCCCGAAAGCGTAGTTCAAAACTGTTCAAAAATTTCCTTAATTGCCGCTTTTTTTCAATTTTGCCCCATAGTGCATTAATTGATGTCGATTTTTTAATATTTTTACTGTTTTTTTGTTATTTTATAGAACTGAATTGAAAATGTTTAAAAATCTCGGAAAATATTTCGATATTAACAAGGTATTTCCTTTCTTTTGGTTTGCCATTCTTACATCCGTCTTAATTGCAATATAGAACTAGCTGGATTGTATTGAATTTAATAACAAAAAACTCAGACGAATAATTTTCACCATTTCAAGTGACTTTGCCGCTTTTAAGTTTTTGCACGATTAAGGATCACATTTAACAAGGAACCCATGTAAAAAATGTAAAGTGCTTACCATTCAGAATGCTTTCCTTAAAAAATTTTAACAAATTATTAAAAAGTCACTGAACTTTTGAGTTCTATTCAGATTTTTTTGTGAATCGTTAATTTTTTCATGCATCAACTTTTATGTCTTTGTTCCTATCAAAATATAAGTTGATATGGCTGTTGAAAGTTGATGTCAAAAGTGCATTTTAATACATGAAATCAAAAGATTTCTTTAGGATTTTTTAATGTTATTAAAATATCTCTTCTGAGTCTTATCAAGGAAATTTAAATTTCGAAATTTTTACCTTCAAATAATTAAATTTTGATGGTCAGTCACAAAGACAATATACCAAATTATAACAATCCATTCTTGCATATAAACTGATATCGAAATTTTCAACGTCAGCAAAAATTCGTCAAGTGTTCACCCATTCATCGTCATCATCATTGTGCATGAATGCTGCATGTAGACATTCTATACGAGAAGAGTGGAAAAAATCGTCAAGAATAAGCAAGAAAACATTTTTCACTTGTCCATGCTCATAAGCCATACATACGAAAAAAAAGTTACCGTCATGTAAAAAACAACGAAGCAGGAGGCACCTTAATTGCATAGAGTAATGGCTGCGAATGAGAAACATGAGAAAAAAGACAGAAAAAGGGAATTCAAGTGTAATAATGTCTGGAAAGGAAAAGCAATCTCAGCATCATAGTACAGACAAAAAGCAGCAGGAGAGCAATGACATGGGCGTCCTTTGTTGTTAAAAAGGGATTTTTGTGTCTACATGAGATGCCTCTTTGATACCGGATGGAAAAAAAATGTTTTTGTGGAGGTAGAGGAAATGTGGCAGCCGAAAAAATTTTTTCGTATAAAATGGAAAGAAAGTGGATATGAATGCATAATTAAAACGACTTTTTGACTGTTTGTTTGCTAAAAGAAGAAAATAATTTTCATTTGTAATGATGCAGCATAGGAAATGTAAAAGTCCTTTTAAGGAACATTTTTTTGGTTATTCATAAGGAGCTTTGGTTTTAATGATGAGAGCATTTAAGCACCGGAATATGCATAAAGAAGGAACAACTTATAAAGTTTCAAAAGTACTTAATTTGTACTCAACTAAAGGTATTTTTTTGTCTAAATTTCTCAAAAATTTCATTTTACAATTCCTTATTCAAAGTTAATGGCTTTCGTTAACTTTTAAAATTTGAATTCCTCCATTGAAGAATGTAATTGTTACTTAAATTGACCATGCAACATAAAGGCTCTCTTTATAGTGTTCAACATGGATTCCATCACACATTTAGAGATGAAACTACTGAAATCAAATGTAAACTTAATCGATGGGTCTTGAATTGAATCCAAAAATCTTACATTAAGAATTTTCATATTTCCACTTTAAGTCGTAAGTCTTAAATTGTATTATTTTTCAAGTTTTAGCAATTTTAAGAAAAATTTTAAATTTAGTTTCAAAACTTGCTATTAAATAATAATTTTGATGCAAGGGTAATCCAGAAAGAGGCAATGCACGTTTTATGAGGATTTATGTGTAAGCACATGAAAGCTTTCAGTTAATTGACTTTAAAAGCTATATTTGTTAAATGCATTTTCATATTTAATTTCATCACTTCAAATTTGTGGTTGGAATTATAAATTTTCTTTTTTATTCAAATCAAAGGAATTATGGAAGTAATGTAAATGTAGATGTACCATTAAGGGAGAATGTGAGAGAAATGTTAAAATGTCCTTTCATCATTTTTTTTAAAAATTTTTAAAAGCAAAACTTAATTGAAATGAATATAAAAAAAATTTGTCAGAGCTATAGTATTGTGAGAAGACAAAACTAACCTGTTGATTAAATTAAACTCTTTCCTCTTCTTCATCTTGTTTAAGAATGTTTTTTAACCTGTCCTTAGTTCCTTAATAATCTCCTTATATTAACACATTAATTAAATACTCATAGCATTTGGATGAAAGTTTTAAATATAACGGAAAAGTGTAAGCTTATAATCATTGAGTGGTGAACCTCAAGCTAAATTGAATGCTTAATAGTAAACCATAAAATCTATTTAAACAAAAACCATTGGTGTTATAGCATTCCTGAAAAAAAAATTTCAAACTTTTATTAAACAATTTTTTTTAAAACACTACTGCACATTTTATTGAAAAAAATAACGATGAAAAAGTTTGGGTATTGACCAGGAAACTCAGTGTGCATTTGAAAAATTTGTATGATAAATCGGTTGCTTATCGATGTGATGATATATATTTTATAAGGAGCCCTAATTAACGAGACCCTCCAAATGAAATTTCATTTATTTTTAATTTAAAAAATCTTATAAGGGGCCGTTCACTTATTACGTTACGCAAAAAAATACTTTTTTCACCCTCTCCCCCCCTTGTTACAATATGAACCCCCCCCCCCCCCTGAACGTTCATAATTTATTTTATCATTAAAAAGGTGGAAAATTTAAAACAAATGTTTTTGGTGTGAATTTGTAATCAAATTTTTTAGACGACAGTTAGAACGTTACATAATTCTTGACACCCCCCCCCCCCCCTTATGTTACATTTTGTTACAATTTTTCAAACCCCCCTCCTCCTTAAAATGCGAACGTAATAAGTGAACGGCCCCTAATTCAATTTCTATTTAATGCTTCAAAAAAAATACATAATTCTTTTCGAAATTGGCGTACTTACAGTAATTATGCAAGTATATCTCTTTCTATTCTCATATCATGGAACAAAACTAATGGATGCTAGATATAAAGTTGGAAATGAAATATCTTTATCATCATGGAATGAAATTAAGCAACATAAATTGCAAAAAAATTTTATTTTAATTACATTACGCTCGCACAAAGCTGTTGGCATAAAAACTTAAAAATTATTCTTTTTAAATTTCAAGAGTCATTTCGAAGCGTTTAAAATAATCATTTCGTATTTCTGCTCTAAGAGCTTTATTGATTGAGAAAGAAAAATGGAAATAGGAAAATTTGCAGTAATTGGACATAAATATTTTAATTGAATAATAATTACTCAATGTAGTTATCAGCTCAATATGATCAATTTGTGTATCAATTTTTATGTAATAAATGTAATCAGGATAATCCTCAACTGACAATTGGATTTATAACCACTCTTTTATTCCGCGCTTTTTATTTTTATTGTGGACGTAATGTGTACTTCATTCTAGCAAAATTTGAAAGTGATTGGACACTTCATGCCGTCGTACTCTGTCACACAGTTCTTCTGCTCTAAGTTATAGAAAATAAATTATATTATAATGAACTTTTGGCAATAAATGACTTATTTCTGCCAACTTAAATTATTCTTTTGAGTTTACTGTTTTGCAATTGACCCTTGAAACATAAATTAAAATGTATTGTATCATATTTTTAAAAACATATTTCACATTCAATGAGCTTAGTAAGAAAATTTTGAAAAATATTTTCAGACATTTTTTTTAAATGCTTTTTTGTCATTTTTATCATAAACGAAGTTCAATCTAAAAGGATGATTAGACTCACAAATCTTTCAAATGTTTTGCCATAAAAATTGTTTAGAATAACCTCCCAAGTAAGCTAATGATAGTGCACAAAAGTAGCAAATTGAAAACATCAAAGCAGATTTTTGCGGTTTCGTAATATATTTATTCCCAAACAGTCGCAATTCCACTTAAATGCAATATACAAGACCTTTTTTTCTCATTGTTTTCAAAGCCTTTTATTGAAGTATCATTAACAAATAATTTACTCGTTTCTCACTCGGCTACACTGTCATTGTACTGCTCTTTTCCAATTGTTCTCTCATTCATCAAAGCATTCTTTAACTTTTCTATCTTCTTTCGATCATTTTGATGCCGAATTTGCATACACTCGAGCTTCATTTCAAATTCTTCATTTTTATTCACATCCTTTGACGGTGACGATGATTTCAATGCTTTCGAATAATTCTTTGTAGTTTCAATAATAGATGAAACACTTTTGGAAGCTTTACAGTCTAAAGAGTTATTTGGATGACTACTTTCATTGCTGTTGATTCTTTTATGCAACTTCTGGCATTGTTGATTAATGCGGTTCATTGAACTCATTTTTCGTCCATATTCAATACGATTACGGAATTTACGTGTTTCACTATTTACAAGTGATACAGACTGAGAAGATTTATACTGATTTGATAGATATTGTGACCACAAAATGCGTGGAATCTTTGATTTTCGCTTCTGTTTAAGAGCACACGATCCTTTTAAATTTTCATCAACATTTTCGTTTGATGAACATCTAGATGGATATTTTATTGATTCATCTACGTCACATCCACAAGAGTTTGATTTCATTTCATTCGTTTGGATTTTCATGAACTCACGTAGTAAATAAATTTGATTTAATTCGCTGTAAGTTTTACGTTTCTTTCGCTTTACAACATTTTTCGATTTTATCGATTCTTTCTTTATCGCTTCTTCAAACTTTTCCAAACTATCAGCACTAAAATATTCATCTTCACTTTTTCGAGTCATTTTGATGTTGGCAATTGCTGGCAATTGACTAATTTTGAAAAATTGCATAGAAAAAGTTTTTGATTGGTGAGGAAACTTTGCTTTTTTCAACAAAGCTTACTCAAAAACTCGATTTAATTAAATTTAATGAATCAGAAAGATAAAGTTTTGGTGGAAGGCAAATTTGTCAAGTGGTCATGATAATTAAAATTTAATCGAGTGTTAAGTTGGATAAGTTTTCATCTTATTAATTGTAGTGATAATTGTTTGTAGTAAAATAAATTAAATATATTTAAGATTGTTCATTGCTTGCATTTGGGTCATTTATTTGCTTAATAGAAGTCATTTAACACTCATGCCTTGTCAAGTGGTATAATTTATAGTAAATTAAGGCTTCTTAGTGCTCAATTATATACAATCTGCATTATGATTACCCAAAGCATGTGAAGTTCAGTTTTTTTATACTAAAAGTTTTAATACAGACACTTAGCACATGCTCAACACTCCATGACCCAAAGCTACCTCAATGTTTTGAAAAGTTTCACCTTCAATCTTTTAGTCTATTTTTAAAATTCAAATCAACAAGAAGCTGAAACCAGCTCCTAAAAAAATAACAAATATGAAAGTAAATCCGTCATTACCTGGAATGCCATTAAGTTACTATTCTAATTTATACAGAGTGAATCAAATACAGCCAGGGCCAATGCCACTAAAGAAAGCTCTTGATACAACAACACTTCCGTACACAGCACATTCAGATAATTTCCCAAAAGATTTTTTCTCATCAAAATTATTATCACACTTGTACAATCATTTCTATCCGAAACTCACAGAGCCAAGTAAATATATAATTCATCATGTAGATAGTGATGAAAAAAAGGATTTTTCACTATTCAGCATGCTTAATCCATTTGAATGTGATACTGAGGAAAGTGATGATGAAGATGACGATTATAATGGATTGTAAGATTTTTTTTCATATCTATAAATTCAATTTTTTTCTAATTTAATTCTCTTGCAGCATTGATTCTGGAGAATTATTTGGGAAACGAAAATATCAATACCTGAAGAAAAAGAAGAAAAAGAAGATACTGAAAAAGAAGAAAAAGAAAATATTTTTAAAATTTGCAATAATATTTATTGCGTTCCTTGCTTTGAAAACGCTGTATGAGAAATTTTATTATTTCTTTCCAACTGTAAGTACTGCAACTTATAGAAATAATACAGTGATTCTCAAAAATTATGCTGAGACATTATAGCTAAGTCAGCAAGCAAAATAGTTTGAGAATCAGGCAAATCAGGGTCGGTTTCAAAAGTTCCTCAGGGCACCTACACTAGTTGTTTAAAAAATGATGCTTTGTCAAAAACCGACTCATGATCCTCCAAAAAAAATCTCACAATATTGTTTATTTTTTTAGATTTTTCCATCTACGGCTCGAGAGGAATTACTGGAGCACATGGATGATATACTTCAAGAAGGTTTTGATAGCGACAGAGGAAGCGATTGGAATAAAGTACAGCAATTTGAAGAGCAAAATCGAGCTTTATTTGCACCAAATTATGAAGAAACTCGCATAGATGTTAGAATTCCAATCCAAAAGAGAATCCTTACTGATTCATGAAAAAATCATTTGCAATAAATTCTTTTTCATTTTCCTAAATTCAATTTATGCAACAGCATTAGACATATAGATAGTGTGAGTGAGAGAAAGTAAGAAAAAAATTTATAGCTGTCGATTCAATTTAACGCTTCAAGCGACAACAAAATGACAGAAAATCTTCTCATTTTCCACTTATGGATTCTTAATACTCTACTTAACATCCATATTGGGCTTATGTAGATTTATGTCATGTGATTCTTTATCTCTGATTTTTCGTGCACATTCTTTTCTTATGAACGTCTTTGTAGGTTTATTTTGTTAAGAATTTTCTTCTGAATTTAGCTCTTAGATATCTTTTTAAAAAAACTTTAGAGTAAGGTCCTTCACAATAGATATCAAAGTTTTAGAAGACGGAATTTTTGAGGTTATATATCTGTCCTGATTAAATGCATTTAGCATATTCCCTGGTGTGTGGAAAAGGCAGCAATCTTTATGATGTGATTTTTGGTATTTTTGTGGTGCCAGTGGCTCTGATAAAGTCGCCAATAGCAACTGATTATTATTGTTATTTATTAAATTTTGAAGTTATTTATTTTAAACAATAAAATCTTAATTAAAAAATAAAATAAAATCAAAGATTAGTTCTGATGTCTCCTTATATGACTCCCATAAGCCTGAGTTTTCATCAGCTAAAGTTTTTCCGAAAATTTAAAACCTCCTTTATGCCATCTTTTAAAGGAAAAAAAATGTTAAGAAATAAACTTTGTAGCTTCACAAAACCTTGCGAAAATGGATTAAAAATTTATTTAATTCTAAAAGGAAGGCAAGAAAGAGATATTTGGAAACTCCTGAAAGCGTCGCAGGTGTTTTGTGTAAAAAATCTGTAAAAAGAAAGAGAATATCTCCAAAATGAGCTCATAATTCTTAATGTACTTCATATTTACGTACGTATATGCTTAATAATGCTTTAATATGTGAGAATTTTACACAAAAATAAGCGCGACATAAAACAGGAAGAGGATAAAAAGAAATGAGAGAGAAAAGAAATTTTTATTACAGCATGTTGCAGATTAATTTTCCAAATGAGTTACTAACCCGGATAGCAAGAAAAATTTTGCCGAGTCTGTTTGTTTGTCATAAATACATGCATTACATTACATCTACAATATTTTGTTGCTTACTCTATACACACTGAGCATAAAATATGGTTGAATGGGAAGAGAAGAAAAAAAAAACGAGAAACAAAAATTTTGCTGTGTATCAAAAAACGTGACAATAAATGTGAGCTTCCGCAGCGGAACCAACAACTGTTCATACATTTCTTTTTCTCACTTGTGCTAAAAACCGTATTTATACTCCATATGGATGATTATATCCATGTTTCAATTTCAATTTAGTTTTTTTGTTTGAATATCCGATTATTCTATACGAGATTTTTGTGATGGAAATGGAAAGGAATGGAAAGGAAATTAGCGAGCGAGAACATTCATTTAACTAATAATGATTCATTATGACTACGATAGTATTTAGTTGTAACACCAAATGGTTCCACTTTTGCTACAATTTTTTAAAAGAATTATTTCAAGTGGAAATTTAATTTGGGTTCACAAAACTTGTGCTAATCACAACTGTGTGCCTGAATTTATTACATTATTAATTTCTAGAAATAAATATTACCATATTGTAAGCACAAACATTAAATACTATTAAATTAAAATATCAGCACCTTGCATTTAATTCCACTTCTACTAGCTGCAATTACCAGATTAATCCATTTTCTATCGCTGTCATTGCAAATATTGTTACATTGTACTGCGTATCAACTGTAAATTTTGCAATTTTGGACCGATTGCACCCTTCAATTTACGTCGTTTTTGTTGATGTTGATGCTGCTGCTGCTGCTTTCCTCTAATCCTCTTGTGGTTCTTTGTCATTGTTGCCGACATTGCACCATCATCCATAGTAACACTATAATCCTCATCGTCTGCATATTCTGTAAGCTCGTCAGATGGGGCATTTTCATAATTCAGATCGAAACGTTTCTTCGCTTCATTCTCTTCATTTCGAGCAATTACTGCGCGTTGACCAGCAGACATAACCATCACCTACGAGAAATAGACGGTAAAAAAATTCATTTGTCAGCAATTAAAAAAGAATTGGATTTTTTCTCATTTACAGTTGGATTCATAGCTTCCATTTGATCCTTTAAACACGATTGTAACAGATTAAGAAAGTATAAAAATGCCAACAGTGTTAATGCTGACAATGCAGCACCTTTCAATTTTCCTCCCTTTCCACCCGACATCATCGGTGGTCCGTAATGTGATTGTGTTCCAATTGATGTATGTCCATAACCCGTGCCTCCACCTCCTCCACCGCCATATTTTAATCCAAATCCATTAGCACTATCATGTAGTTGCGGAAATGTTTGATCGAATGCTCCACCACCGAGCGAAAATATGTTTGAATCAGACACAGCTGGAAATTGATAAGGTGTTGCAAACTTGTTGGTGACAGAATATCCAGCAAATGGATTTAAGGGCCCTCCAAACATTCCACGGCTGATGTCATAATTTTGATAATTGTCTGTTAAAAGCCCTTTACTTTCCATCATATAAGGTATTGTTGTTCACCACACAGTGCTTAATAATATACTGAAGTAGATTTTTTTATTTCAGTTTACTTTTTTTCATTTTCATCGTAATTTATGAGATTGTCATCATTATCTTAATTTTATTTGTCATGATTTCTCTCTCACTTACTTTACAAGTGCACAGAAATTTTTCTTCATGCATATAACCATGTTGAGCGACATGCTTTTTTTTTGTATTCAGTATTTGTCAAGTTTTTATTTCGTTTTCAAGAAAATGAAGAATTAAAACAAAAATAAAAGTAATTTGGGAATTTATAAGCTTATTTATTGTATATTGGTTTGAAAAACATGTGAATTTTCGCACATGGATTTTGGTATGAAAATTTGAAATGCTTTTTACATAAAATATTAAAAGCGCGTGCCATAAAATTACCCACATAATCCATAAAAATTTACAATTGTTCTTTTTTTATGTTTTAATGAAATTGTAAAGGGATCAATCATAAATTCAGTTACAAAAACAACAGAAAAACAATAGAAAAACCTCCCTTTGCCGATATTGATGAATGAACGGTCCCAAACTTAAATTAACATGTTGGTTTGTGCATGTATACTGGACCTTCATATAATTTATAATTATTGCTGTTTGATTTAACACGACCTTGTGTTAGCCAAAGAGCAAAGTTATTACTAAATAAGAGCGTGCATTACAGCATGGACTTAAACTTAAAAAAAATGTATCCCACTTCTCTTTTTTTATGTAAATTTTTGAGCATTTCACAGTCGTTGCCTTCATTGCCTAATCAATATCCAGTTTTCTGAAGCTCCCAACAGTTTCTTCTACATTATTTTGAAGCGATGCTTTAAATTCGAAATTATTTGAGGATTTTAGTTTATCTAAATTGTCATCAACTGTTTTGATAAAATGTTCAATTATTTTTTCTTCAGATTGTGTTCCTCCAAGTATATCAGGCAGTATTGATGGATCAACATGTTTACATAGCTCATCGCATGAATCCAATATCAATAATCTATTACGTTGCTTTTCAGTCATTGCCATTTTGGTTACATTAAGAAGAGCATTAGCAAATGCTGGAAGTCCAATAATTATAAATTTTTTGAATCGCTGCGGTAATGATCCTGTGCTTTTCACCCAATCAATTATATCGGAAACAGAAAATAATGAGCAGAATGACATTGAGATATTTGTGTAGTTCAAAATATAGGTTAGGCCAATTATCTGCGTAACTTCATCTTCTATAGCCACTGATGAAGTCATGAAACATGAATGAAAACAAACGTCCGAATTGAATTTTGTTGTATCAAGTTTTGCAGCATTTATACAGAATATTGTTTGACCAACAATATCTTTATCTTTTAATACATAAACGCAACCACAACGTATTAATGATTTCAATACTTCCATAGCTGGTGGATCGGCATCAAACCATTTTGGATGTTTTTTTCTTAAGTGAAAATGATTTTCAAATGTCTTGGCAGTGTCATCAAAAGAATATTTTCGTGTACGCAGGAACATCAACAAAAAACCATCGTCTGTAATATGAATCAATATTTATTCAACTTTTTTATTTCCTCTGGTTAAAAATGTAATTTACCTTGTCTGCAATTCTTTATGAAAGGATGTTTCTTAAGCCAATTCCGAAACTGCTCTAAAGCTTGATTCTTCCTCAACTCATTCTCACGAATTAAAACTTTATTCTGTTCCACTAACTTTGAAATATCCATTTTAAGCCTACTCACTGCACGTTGTTTTCTGTTCAAATGTTCCAGCACGAATGACCGAAGAAAAAAATGAATAAGATTTCATGTGATCGAAAGAGATTTTAAAATAAAGCTGTTTGGTTAAAGCACTCGACCTTAGAAATATGTAAATTAATGTTTCAATTTAAAACTGAAGTATAAGTCATTTTTAATAAGTGTGTACTTTAGTAGTGGTGGAGTAAGGAGAAAGGTATCCAAGACATTATGAAAAGAGACCAAAAATCCCATACAAAAGAATGCAAATATTGAAATTAACCCCTGAGCTCCAAACATCATTGCTGCGCCCCTGGACTTTTATGTCAGCAAATCAAAATTAGGAATTTGAACATTGAATTGGTGCAATGACTTAAATATTTATTTTATTATTCTGTTTTTCTTTTATGTTTCGATTAGTTTAGTAAGAAGTCAAGATATAAAAAATTCTAAACCTCGCATTTGTCACCAATTTTTAAAACTTCATATTCATCATATTCATAGCTTTTCCATTCAAATCCGATTCTACAAATTTGATTTGGCAATAAAAATCCTGGAATAACTGATTCCATAGCATTTGCTCTACAAATTGATAAGTCGCTAGTATGATTGAAAAGTCTATTATTACACCATAAATATTTTTCTGCAGTTAACAAATCAAAAGTGATGACACCAAATTCTTGACTTTCATTTAGAACATAGGCATTTTGCCTTTTAATCGCAAACTTTCCATAAAGATGTTTGTTCTTATTGCCAACTCTAATAACGTATAGTAAACTGCCGTCAACATCTTTACCACCTAAAACTGCATCATCTGGAATGTTTGTTGCTTTTTCATACCAAGATATCCATTTGTATTTTTCAGGTTTTAATGTTGTTGATTTTAGATTTACAGTACTTGTGTTTATTGTTGGAACTGGTTTTCTCTCTTGTTTGTAAGCTGTCAGGAAATAATTCAAAACTTTGTTTGTTTCTGGATCTAAAATAAAACTTCCATCAACATAATCAATTACATTCTCAGATGATGAATCATTCTGTTTAGTTTTTTTAAGAATTTGAAAATTTTTAAATTTTTGAATTTTCCCATCAAAGCCTACAGCACAAACTCCATCTGATCTCAATTCACCAGGGGTCCATGATGTTCGGAATCCTGTACTCCGTAAATAAATTTGCAATAATGCTCTACAGATGTAAATTTCTCTTCTTTTAAAATCAAGGCCTGCAATTATTGCATTTTCTTTGTTATGTACATCATCGCTCCATTCGTAACTCATACTTTGTAAAATTTCAAAAGAATTTAATTTCCTTTCGACATTTCCATCCAGAACTGATGCATACTCATTGAGCGCTGAATACTTTCCAACTTTGAAGGATTCTTCGTTCTCATCGTATGTCCGTATAACATACAAATCTAATTTATTGATATCAAAACCAGCAATTACTGCATTTGAAGGAATAAATTCAACTCCCATAGAAGACTCATAAGGAATCCAATTAAAATTTTTACTGATTGAAATATTCTCGATTGAAATTGTTGTAGAAATTTCCTCATCATTTGCATTATCAGTAGACACAACAAGGGACGATTGATTTCTATGTGAATCAATTTCATTATCAGTAATACGAGTAGAGTTGATGTTTTCAATTCCTAGGAACTCATATTGTGTATTTTTGTTATTATTATATCCTTTAAAAAATCTTTCTAGGTTTCGGTTTATTTCTTCCGAATCACTATCATGAGTAAAATAAGAAATTGAACCTTTAAATAAACCTAAAATTAAAACCAAATAAATCACAAAAATTTTAATTAACTTCATCTTTTGCTTTGTTTTCTGTGCACTAAGCTAACTCTCCTAATGTTTCGAGTTACAGATCTGAAATGCACAATTATCAGGAAATTTATAAGATGTGCAGTTTTCAAAATGTCAAATCAAATGACCTTGAATCTCCAGCTATATGTCACAGAATATTTAAACAAAAAATACTTGATGATTTTAATGTCACGTAGTGAACAGAACATTCTGAAAAAATAAATGCAAGAAGGAATGTCAATTTTTTAAACACTTTATTATATATTTTAAAAAGAATTACTTAATCTTGACTTAATCTTAATCACAAATTTTATAATTTAAATAAAATAATTTACAATTGTTAATATTGAATTTGTTGAAAACTGCACTGTCCGGGTGTCAAAATATAAAAGTCATCAGAAATAAATTTGACACCCCATTCAAATCCAATTCTGCATCTTCCATCTTCTAGCAATGTTCCCGGGACCGTTGAATTTTTATAGCTTGCTTTGCAAATAGGATATTCAAGATCGTGAGTATCAAATGAGTTTGTTTCACACCATGAATAGTTTGTTGCTGTCAAAATCTATAAAAAGAACAGAAAATTTAAATTCAAAAAAATTGTGATTTGTGAAAAAAAAAATTTTACCTCAAAATGTGAGATTCCATATTCCTTTTCATCATTTGTTATGTAAGCATTTTTCCGTTCGTCTGAAAAAGCGTATTTTCCATATAAATATGAATTTCCTCGTTTCTTCCGAATAACATATAGTGATGATCCATCAATATCTTCACATCCAGTTACTGCATTTTCTGGTAATGTCATTGAATTTTCTTCAAAAGGAACCCAATTAAATGAGGATGAAATTTTCTTAGAATCTTGTTTTGTTTCATGCTTTTCAATTCCCGAAATTAAGTTTTGAACATCAATGGTATTACTTGTCAAATCCTCAATTTTCGATCTGACGTTTGTATGAAGATTCTCAATATTTTCAGAATATGCTTTCCATTCACTGATGATTCTATCTTTTTGCTCAATGATCGATTCTCTTTTCTTATACATTTCAAGTTCTCTTTTGAGCAAATCTACGAGTTGTGAGTATTTCACAATTAATTCTCCAGCTTTTTCTGTATTAAATTCTTTCAATTTCTTCTCATTTTCCTTGGATTGTTTTAAAAACTTTTGTTGAAGTTCAGTTATATCCTTGTCATTCTGTGCAAGTTCAACATCAAGTTTATATTCTCTAAGTGTTTCGTCACAATCATCGCAATGTTGAGTCATTAAAGCTGTCAATGAATATTTGCGATCATTTAATTTCTCTAGTTTATTTCTATATTCTTCTTCTGTCATTCTCATATTTTCTGATAATTCAGAATTCTCATCCATTGCTTTACTTTGAATACTTGCAATATTTTCCTCTATTTCCAATTTTCGAGATCGTAATGTTTCTACATAAATGTCGTAATATTTTTCAGTTACTCTATCAATGTTTTCTTTGTATAGCTTTAAATCATAATCGCGGGAACTTTTGTATTCTTCAATGTTATCTCTGACAGCGTCAAATATATTTCCTTGATCTTCAATAAATTGCTCTCGCATAATATTAAAATTATCATTTATAAGTTTCAATGAATCTTCAATTTTAATGACTGTTTTGAAAATTGGATTTCCATTTTCATCAAATTCCTCTTCAATGTTAGTTTCAACAATTTGATAATTAATATCTTTAATGCTACGTTTCGTAGCAAAGGCAATACTCAATGAGATACACACTGATATCAAAACTATTCTTCTGAGTAAATACATTATGAATTAATTCAGTTCTATTATCACTATTATAAAATATTTAATAATAAAGGAAGTCTAATTAATAAATTTTAATTCACTTCTTTATTTCAAGTCAACTGTTCTCTATTTTTTATTTGAATGAAGTAAAAAGAATTACTCATCTAGGTTTTATACAAATGTCTCTCAGTAATTTGAGAAGACTCAATTGAATAAATATTTACATTGTTTTCCAATCAGTTCTCATCAAAATTTTAGTAATAAAATAATATTAATTACGAGTGCAAAAGCCGGATCACTCCAAACCTATACCCGAGTAGCACAAGTCGGTTAATCGAATATAAATCTGGTGTGAAGCCGACATAACTCTTACATGGCGCCTCTTACCTTCGATTTAAATCGAGCACCATGTCAAAGTCACACCGGCTCGGTACAGGATTTCTGATCGATTAACCGCCTTGTGCCATTCGTGATAGAATTTAATCCAGAGATCGAAGCCGATTTTTTCGGCTTAACTCAATTTTTGATTTTTTTGATAGAAAAAAGCCATTTACCACCCATATCAAGTATTTAAATTGAACTTTACATGCTTTACTATGAATCTGTGTAATATTTTGTCAGCATGTAGCTATAGTAAGCTCTGAATTTCAATTTAGCCGATTTTAAGCCGATCGGCTTAAATTTCGGCTTAACATTCTTTAACTTGAAATTCTGAGCTTACTATAGCTACATGCTGACAAAATATTACACAGATTCATAGTAAAGCATGTAAAGTTCAATTTAAATACTTGATATGGGTGGTAAATGGCTTTTTTCTATCAAAAAAATCAAAAATTGAGTTAAGCCGAAAAAATTGGCTTCGATCTCTGATTTAATCTATTCAAAAAAACATTTTTGCTGTTCCAAAATGGAAGCTTCTGATTTTCTTTCTGATAATTTATTTTGGACAGGAGTTAGGACTTGTATTTTGATTGCTGTGTTATGTGTTTTTAAATTAACCATTGTAAATAACTGATGTTCATTAATTGGCTATGCCTTAATATTTCTGATTAAAATTTAATAAATCCAAAAATAGTTTAACTTTGCGTATTTTTGTAATTTTATTGTATTAATGTCATGTCAAAAACTTCATATTCAATATAATTTTTAAAACCAGAATTTCAAATCACCTGTGCTTGCATCAGCAATTTTACATGAGCCAAGACCGAGAACTTTGACATTTTCAGAGTATGTATGAACTTTCCAGCCAAAACCTATTCTGCATTTTCCATCTTTAAGTAGAGTTCCTGGTAGTTTTATTTCTTTTCTGGCGAAACTCCACGAAGGTTCATAATAGTGAGTTGTTGTACAAACTGATGGCGTATTCTCTCGGATTTTATAAGTTTTTGTATCACACCAAGTATAATTCTTAAATGTTAAGAGCTATAAAATAAATTCAGTAATAGTGAATTAAACGAGTGTAGCAAAAATATAAGACTTTCCTTACTTCAAAGCTACTTGGTGTTATTTCTACATCATTATTGGTAACATAGGCATCCTTTCTACTTGAACTTGATGCAAGTTTTCCATACAAATATGAATCATCTTTCTTTGAGCGAATAATGTAAAGGTTTGATCCATCAGTATCTTCTCCAGCAGAAACTGCATCAGTTGGTATGTTATTTGATTTAGAAAAGGCAATCCATTTGAAAGCATTTGAACTGATTTCAAATTCTTCCCAATCATCATCACTTGTATAAAAACTTTCATTCGATGTCAATTTACTGAGTTTCAGTGTATTTTTTGTCAAAGTGTCCAACTTTCCTGTTACTTTTGCATGAAGATCACCAATTTTCTCGGCATAATTTTTCCATTTATCGTTTATTACGGTGCTAATAAGTTCTAATTTGTCCTTTTTCTTACGTTCCTCAACTTCTTTTTGAAAAATATGAATTAAATCTAAATACTTTGCATTAAGTTGACGAGTCTCATCAGCATTTAATCTAGTTCTTCTTATCTCACTTTCATTTTCCTGTTTTTTAATTTTTTCTTTAAGTTCAGCTATTTGCTTATCATTTTTTTCAAGTAGAAGGTCGATTTGATCATCATCAAGAAATCCATCACAATCATCGCAATTACCAGTCTTCATGCTCAATAATAATTTGTTGCGTTCCTTTAATTTCTCAACTCTTTTTTCATCCTTTTCCTTTTCCCAAGAATTGTCAAGAAATTTTTCTATGAATTTCTGAACTGTCGACTTTTTTGTTTCAATTGTCTTCAAGTTATTATCTAAATCTGTGATTTCATGATCATAAGCATCTTTAAAGATTTTAATAGATGAATCACGTAAAGCTTTATGGTTATCAAGATCCATTTCAACTTTTTCATAAATATTTTTCTGATGTTCCAAGAATTTGCTTTTAAGCTCGTTGAATCGAGTTGACACACTTTCGATCAATTCTTCTACTTCAGGGCTTATTAGCGGCAATGGTGCGACAGTTGTCGATGTTGTTGTAGAAATTTCAGTTGTTGTTGATGTGGTTGCCAAAGTTGAAGTTACTCTAATTTCTTCACTACTTCCAATTACTTCTTCAAAATATTCATCGCTTGCAAAAGGAATAGAAATTATTGAATCTGCCAGTAAACAAATCAACAACAATGAAGTTAAAATCTTCATTTTGCAGAAAATATGAATTTTTATTATCTGCGTTTTTTACAGAAAACTTTTCAGATTTACGGTATTTTTAATAATGAGTCTTGGAAATATAAAATTTGTTAAAATGTGAGAGTTTCTTATCAATTGTATTATTCTCAAAATTGGTCATTTAATTTTTAAAATCACTCATTTTTCTCAAGTAATCTAATTAATGATGGAGCTAATGTGTTTAATCACTGACAAAATAACCTAACTTGTTTTTACTTTTAATTAAGATTTGTAGTTAATTTCTTATTTTATTCATGAACTTTTATAATCGATTCGAATCTTCTGTCGATCATGAGAAAAAAATGAAAAAAATTTGACAAAAGTATAAAGTTTATTATCGAATTTGTCAACGTCTTGAATGGAAAACAATAAAATATTTTGATGATATATATCCAGAATGCCACTAGTTGTTTGTTCAAAAAAGTAAATTTTGTCATCTATCTTCAATTCCACAAAAATTACTAAAATGAATTAAATTCTACAAATTTAATTGGTGCGGAAAAATTTCCTCAATTGTGATCCAATTAGATGTGAATCCATTCAATATGTATAGCAGATGCCCCAAAGGAGAACTTAAATTATTGAGCATCGAACAAGATGAGAAAAGGAAGAAAAATTCGAAAAAAAGCTTTTAAATCTTTCGCACCAATAGAGTAAGTTTATTTATTGATTTAATTTATGTGTGTTGGCAGTAGATGGGGATTATAAAGTTTATTGAGTGTATGAACTGGCTATTCAATGAATCTGCTACATTTTCTTCTATTAGAATGTTTATGTTCTGAAAATATGTGGAATGGAAATAAAGGAGACTTTTGACCATTTTACGATTAACATTCTGCTCTTTTCGCACATAAAATTGAAATAAAAAAGTTTTCCATTTCTTTTGTTTCTTTTTCTTAAGGCATGAAGCAAAAAGATATGAAAGTAATTTTTGTTCAAAACTTACTGTTGCTAAGAATTTTTGAAATTATTGTTTAGACATAAACTTAAAATTTTTTTTTTGTAGTTAATTTCATTGTAGCTAAGAAATTTGAATAACTTTTCAATCTCTCAAAATTTAAATTTGCTCAAGACCCATTATCATCATACAATAAAGGCTCATATTGGATCTAGTTGGGGGGGTTATTCTTTTTTGAAAAATGACCGTTAATTTCAGATGTCATAAGTAGACGACCCTTTAATAGTTTTACTAAAATTTGTATCATGTGATTTCAAAAAGTTTGTTCATCTTAATTAATGTTTTTACATTTCGAGAATACAATCAATCTATTAGTCATCACTTAGAAATACACACTTCGTCATCAATGTTTTGATGAAAACTTGATTATACGAGTATTTACGTTTGATATAAACTGTATATACTGCAATAACTGATGAAATGTTAATTCCGAGATGAAAATATAAATATGATCATGCTTGGAGATGAAGTCAATCAAGTAAAATATTTCACTGAAAGCAAACCTTAAAGGAATTAAATTTTAAAAGTTTTGTGATTAATTCTAGCAAATAAGATAAATTAGAATCAAAAACATGAAAATATTAATTACAATCTTTGTCGTTCTTCTAAGTTATATGCTAACCTCAGCACGTGTTATAAAATATGAACATAATCTAGAATTTGTAAAATATGAAGTCGATCAGGCAAATAGCCAAGAAGAAGATCACTTGAATGTACAAATTTACACAATTGGAGCAATGGAATCAAAGTTTAATAAGCTGGCAGATGAACTTACAAAGCAGCAACAACATATTTTAAATAAAAGCAGAATTGGTTCTGAGAAATTATTAGAGAAGTTAAATGAAGATACTCAGAAAATCAATGAAAATTTTATAGAAATTATAATATTAGTGAAAGAAAATTTAAATGATTTTAAGAATGCCAAAAATGAGACGGAATCTAAAAAATTAAATATCACAAAAGACTTTATGATGGAAATCTTGACATATGAAAATGATTTAAACTTAAAAACAATTTTATGCAAGAACAGCACTGATCTACTGAACAATGAAAAGAAGTTTTTGACAAAATTATTAGATGGATGTTCTCAATGTAAAGTGGATAGAATTGAAAATATCAAAAATGAATTGCAAGCAGCTAACAAAAATTTAAAAATGGAAAATGATTATTGTGAGGAATCTGCACAATTTTTACGTGACAAAATCAGTAAACTTAGGTCTGACATGACTGATAAGTTGATAAAATTATTACAGATGGAAAATCAGGAATTTAAAATAATCATAGATAAATTTTATGTTGTTTCGAAGCTTGAGAATTTTTTAGATGATTTTACTCGGTCCAGAACAAAATATCTCTCAGAAAAAGAACAACTCGAATCGAACTTACAGTCGAAGCTTTCAAACTTGAATAAAATGCTGATATTCGATAGTATTAAGCAAAAAAGTGGGGAAGTAATTTACAACACAAACAAAAATGAATTAGATGGTGAAGACTTCCTTCAAGATTTTTTAACAGAAGTTAACGGCAACGAATCTAACCAGCAGTCACATGTTATAGAGTCATTACAAGTTGAGGAGCCTGAATACATAAAATGGGAAAAAATACATGAAAAGACTAGATACATTCCAGAAAATTCAGTAATTGCAGGTTATGATGTTGATGGAGCTACTTTGTATGTTGTTCGTGCATGTAATGACAATGAATGTACTTATGGAAAATATGCTCGTTTAGATTGGAGAATGAATGCTTACATTCCATATAACAATGTGGAAAAAGGAGAGCAGGATGTAGAAGTAAATTTAACTTGGTTTTAAATTTTTATAGAATTTTTGATTTTTTTTTTTAATTTCCAGATCTTAACAACTTTAAATTATAAATGGTGTTCCCATGATAAAAATAGAAGTTACGACAATCTTCCTGTATGCAGAGTTGAATACAAAAATTCAAAAATTCCAGGAACCTTACAAAAAGATGGGAAATGTAGAATTGGCTACGCTTGGAAAATAGTTCTTCTAGAAAATAATATCGAAGTTCTAGGAGTAAATGGATGTTAATTGACATTCAAACAGTTTTAATGATTAGTAATATTTTATTGATTAAATATATAAATTAAACTAAAAGCAGATTAAGTAATTTAGTGTAATATTAATCGCTAATCTTATAAAAAAATGAGATTGTCATAATCATATTTGTTTTCGATTCTTCAGAAATATTGAAGATTAGTATTTAATAACAAAAGTGAATCATCTTTGCAAAATAATAGAGCATTTTTATTTATTAAATATTTGAATTAAAAACTATCGACATCTATGAGGAATTAGGTACGAGGCAGTTTGTAGATTTATTAAAAAAAATTTTATTGTTTTTACCACGTTTTTTGGACATAGGAAATATTAATACAACTTTTACGATTTTCTCATTATCAACTCAAAAATGAAGTCTCAATATTTCTATAGATCTAGACAGAAGTATATAATTGAAGGTCGTTACTGATTAATAAAATCAAAAATTTATTATCAGTGTATTAATGAGAACTGAGATTCATAAATACTTCTTTCTTCTAATTATTATTATTCTCATTTAAGTCACTGCTCTAAGCACACTTAATTTACAGTACATTTTTCGAATAAAGCACTTTAAACAAGATGAAGACTTCATCGAAATTTATTGTTTTAATTCAATTTTTGTGTATTACATGCATTGCATCTCGAAGTAATAATTATTTTGGGTATGTTAAAGTAGACAGTGAACGTTCAAGTACTAAACTTTATTCAGTTTCTCCTATGGAAGAAAGATTCAAAAGTATAGTCGGAAATTTTGTTAATAAGAAATCTGAACAAATAACAAAGAATGAAATTTTGAGAACTGTTCAATTAAAAAATGCTGAAACTGAACTTAGAAAATTGGATGAAGCTACTAAAGAGACATTTAATAAAATGGAAAGAGCATTAGATGACTTTGAGAAATTAAAAAGCGATGAGGAGATTTTAAAAGTCATAGAAAAATCAAAAGACATGCAACTAGAAATTTTGGATCACGAAAATAAATATCTTGAAAAGATTTTGAATGAAGCTCTTAATAATACATCAGAAACTATAATTAAAAGTGAATATAATTCAACAAAAAAGGCTGAATTTTTAAATGCAAAGTTGTTGATTTACAGTGAATTATCTAATAATCTAAGCTTAATTGGTGACAAAGGGTATCAAATAGACCAAATCACCAAAATGAAGCTTGATTTGGGCGATGAATTTATTTCAAATATTTTTGAATACCATAGATTAGTCGACACATTTACCTTAATTGATGATTTTAAAAAAGTTTTTAATGATTCTTTAAGTAAATGGGAAAAAGTGCAAGAAAATTTGAAAAATATAAGTCAAGATTTATTTGATGATTTGCCAGTGTTCTCAACCTTAAACTTCAAAGAAATCGAGCCAAAACGTGGTGAACTCGTGCACGATATCAACAATCCTAACTTTAATGATGAAAAGCTAGCTAATACTTTGATGGACAAAATTATAAAAAATATTAAAGAAGAACTTATGTCAAATGTCAAATGGGTGACAACTTATGAAAAAACTATATTGCTTCCTGAAAATGCTGTTGAGGGAGGAATTGACGATGAAAATAACAAATTTTATGTCATTCGTAAAGAACAAAAACATAATTATTATTACGGAAAATATGTCAGATCGGAGACTAGAATGAATGCCTACATTACCAATGAAACTGAAGATATAGGAATAGAAACCTTTGAGGCAAGCATTATTTTACTTATTTATTTATTTTTAAATATTTTTTAATTTTTTAATAGATTTTAACATCCCCAAGACATGTTTGGTGCAGCTATGATAAAAGTAAGCACAAATACTATATGACGCTTCCAGTTTGTAGAGCTGAATATTATGGTTCATTGATTCCTGGAACACTTGAAAAGAATGGAAACTGCAGGTTTGGTTTTGGCGGTGAAGTTGAGCGAATTACGAATGGACAATTTGAAGTTCTACAAATTTATGAGTGTTAGAGATTATTTTTTAAATGACACTAGTTTTTGGTAATAAAACATAATAAAACTCAATAATTTTGCATTTTATTGTGTTAAAGAGTCATTACTGTGGCTTGAACCTGATCACTAGAATCAATAGTAAAACAAATTTACTCACAGGCTTTAGAATTCTATAGAAATTAATACTTTTTCTTATTAATAATAAATATTTACTATAAAACTTGCAAAGATAGAAAATATGATGCAAGGAGAAGTTGTATTTACTGATACAACAATGTTAAAATACTACGCATTCCTCATGTATTGATAATGATAATCATCATAAAATAAAATATATATTCAGACTAATGATAGACAGTTCTGCTCGATTCTTCAAACGTTAAACACACAAAATTGATTGTGATGAAGAAATTAAAATGTTTGTATTTTATAATCCTCGTAATTTTTTCTGTGAGTAATGGTGAAACATTTGCTGATGACGGTACTATGGATTATGATGATGAAGGTGCAACAATAATTACATTCGAAAATACAACAACCGAAATAAATACTTTAATGTCAACAACGTCAGCGAATTCTGAATTATCAACATCAACAATAAAGAATTTAGAAGAGAATAGTCACGAAATGAATGTAAGTCAAACCTTATCAATATTTTCATTGAAAAATATAGAATCAAAGTTCAACGATTTGATTGTTAAACTTGACCATGAACAAGTTATTTATTTAAATGACACAAAAAATTCCTCTAAAATTCATGAGAAAGAATACAAAAGTATTATAAAGAGTCAAATTCAAATGATTACAACTGTATTTGAAGAATTTGATGAACATTTTAATGAGTATGAAAAAATCAAAAATGAAATGGAAGAAAAAATGCAATTAATTCGAGAAAATTATATCCGTGAAATATTTGCAATAGAAATAAAGTGGATAAATGATCAAATTGCTTTTTATAAAGAATATGATAAAGTGGTCAATAAAAAACAGATGTATGCAACATTGCAAAAGCTTTACACAGCAGAAAACAGTACTGAGAAACTTATTAAAGTTAATAATGATTTTGATGAAGTTGAAAGAAAATTGCAAAATGATTCAATATATTTGGAGGAAAACCATCAAAACTATTTGAATTTAACTGATCAAGCTGAATTAAAGATGACTAATGATCTATCAGAACTACTTAATGACACTAAGTATGATGAAGTTTCAAAGAAATTTGAAGATCTTCTTAAGATGAAGAAGAAGATTGAAAATCTATTAAAATTTTGCACTGATTATTCAGCTTATTCAAATATTCTTTTATCAGAATTTACAAAAAATCTGATTGATTTAAACTCACAATTAGTAATGAGCAAGATTATGCCAAGTGATAATGAAATTGTACAGTTTGCTTCAAAACATTCTTATGTTCCCCTTACTAAAATCTCTCGGAGTTCAGACATGACAAATTATAAATGGGTTCAAGCATACCAAGGGAATACACGCTTATCAGAAAATTCTGTTGTTGGAGGTCAAGATGTCGATGGTGTTCCTTTTTATGTTGCTCGCATTAAAGACTATAAATCATATTTATATGGAAAGTTTGCCTTTTCATTGGGCAGAAGACATGCTTATTTCCCCTATGAATATGTTGAGTATGGAGTTGAAAAGTTTGAGGTAATTTTTTTTAAATATTTTCAAGTAAAATTGAAACTGAAAATTTTTGTCATATAAGAAACTTAAATTTTATTCCTGAAAATAGATTTTAACATCTCCAAATTACATTTGGTGTGAATTTGACAAGAATAAAAACTATGATGAACTTCCTATTTGTAGAGCTGAGCATAATTTATCAGTAATACCAGGAACTCTTGAGAAAAATGGAATTTGCAGAATCGGATATAATTTTAAAGTTTATAGATATTCAGTTGGAAATTTTAAAGTTTTAAGGATTGGTGGTTGTTAAAAGTCAAATTTTAATACTGTTTAAAAATGTATAAAAAACTTAAATTATTTTTTTAAAAATAAATCCTCACGCATTATAAAATCTCGAATGAAATGTTGAATTGAGAATGGAAGAATATTAAAAACTGATATAATTAAACCATAATACATTGGAATTGTGACAAATGACTGCCTGTTAATGATTGCTTTGATAATGGTTTCCGCGCATTTATCAGCGGAAAAAATTAAGGTTCTAAAAAAGATTTAAATTAATAAAATATTTGGAAAAAAGTAAAAATTTTTTACCTCTTTTCATTGACAATATCAATAATATCTTTACGAGTGGACATTACATTTGGTAATATGCATGTTGTGTCAATGCCTTTTAATTGTTGTCGTCTTAAAAATTCTTTCAATCCTAACATGAAGCCAGTTACGGCAAACTTTGAAGCACAGTAGTTCAATGAATATGGAAAGGCATAAATTCCTTGCGTTGAAGAAATCGTCACAATATGACCAGTGCCATTTTCAATCATTTTTTCAATAAAACATTTTGTCATCTGTTGAGTTTAAATTAAATATAAAACAATTGTGTTTTGAATAAATTGAATGCTTTTAAAACTGCAAATATGTTTACTCACAAATATTACTGAATTCAAGTTTACTTTAGTCAAAGTTTCAATCTCATCACTTGTTTGTTCAAATATTGTTTTATATGGAATTAAGCCGGCATTGTTGACAAGTATGTCAATAAACTCAAACTCATCACTCAAAATTTCTCTCATTTTTAAAATTTCTTCGTAATTTGAAACATCAATTTTATATTCTCTTGATTTTATTTTGTATGGTTGAAGTTTTAACATTGTCTTCGATGCACTTGAAATGTCTGCAATAATTACATTACAGCCTTGCTGGGCTAACTTTATGCAAATCTGTTGACCAAGTCCATTTGATCCACCTGTTACTAAAGCTGTTTTGCCACATAAAATTTTCTTTTTTGAGTACTTTACTTTAAAAATTAAATAAAATCCCACAATTATAACCGTTCCAATAATTGACAGCTGCAAAGTTGACATTTTCCAGATGAAGATTAAAATTTGATTAGTTTTTTAAATTTACTTCCGCTCTGAACAAGATCTTACTAATAACTGAATAATAATTGAAGTACATCGCTGTGTTCAATGCTCATTTATTTAAGTACGAAGTATCAATTTTTCCTGCCTTTAAATGTTTTTTTTTTCTTAAAACATGTGACAAAACAAGAGAATAAGTCATTCAAATTTAAACAAGATCCTAAACACATGTGGCTTGATGATGAATCCATATTTTTTTTCTCAAATTTCTGAAAATTTTTATTCCAAATTTCTTCTCCTTAAAATTATACTATAAGTGTTTTATTCAGAATATTAAACTGAAGTGTAGAGCAAACATTTGTAAATGTATTTTAAAATAACATCATTCACAATATTCATAAAGACCATATTTTATGCATTCAAATTTAAACAAATCCGAATGGCACAAGTCGGTTAATTGAATAGGAATCCAGCACCAAGCCGGCATGACTCTGGCATGGTGCTGGATTTTAAACGAACTAGCACCATGCCAGAGTCACACCGGATTTCTGATCCGACTTGTGCCATTCGGGAAAAGTGCAAAAGTTATCATAAAGAATTCAAAACATTTTGATTGTATTCACAACGTGCTTTCTTGGTTGTCAATCAAGTAGAACGGTGACCTAACGAATTGAGTGATATACTATATATGGGTATATTGTGCTATTTTGTGAAAGCAGAAAAATAACATTTTAAAATTTTGTGAAGTTGCCAGTTCCGAGATATGAGCATTTGAAATTTGACCTAGGGCCGATTTTTTACTTTTAACACTTTCGACTGTCAATCTGACAAGGCTCGACAAAAACTGTTTAAACTTGGTCAGTAATTTGTGCAAATGTTCCATAATCAAATAAAATAAACGAAATATTTTTATCTAGCCTAACTGAAAACATATGGTGATTCTACGAAACTGACATATCTCGGAACTGGCAACTTCACAAAATTTAAAAAATTTATTTTTCTGCTTTCACAAAATAGCGCAAAATACCCATATTTAGTACATCACTCAATTCGTTAGGTCACCGTTCTACTTGATTGACACCTTTCTCGGTTAAATTTTGTAATTATGAAAGTAAAAAGATCTTTTAAAAATTTCAGTTTAAATTTTCATTCACAGTTGCTGCACACTTATAAACTAAAACCAGAGAAAGAACGGTGGGAATATGAAAAACTCACAAGTCAAATATTTTATTCCATTCTACTGCACAGTGAGAACATTAAAACTATTATAATTATGATGATTAAAATGCAAATGAGATTAATTTCATGATTATGGTTCATTAAGAGAATAAAAAATTATTTTCCATTATTATGAATTTTTTGATTTTCATTTTTAATTAATAGGAGTAAAAAAGCTCATTTTACTGGCTTGTGTTTGTGTATAGTTGATGACATTCAAACAAATGTGTTTTAATGAGGATAGCAAAAAACATATAAATTAATCTTTTTCGGTGTGGCTGTGATGATAACAATTTTTTTTTTGTTTTTATTATAGAACATTATCATAAGGTTTGCTAGATATAGTCATAATAAAAACAATAAAAATAATGACGATGAGAAAAGGGGACATAAATTTTTAAAAATAATTACGAGTGATATTAAGAAAAGGAGATTATTACGGCTAATGGGTGATAACAGAGAAGAGAAATGGATTTTTAGGAAATTTAAAAAATTCTTTCAAGTTACTAGGTTTTAAAATTTGAAAACCTTTGTAATGAAGCTTTTAAGCTGAATTTACGCAATTTGAACCAACATTTTTCTTTGTCATAATTTTGAAAATAATTTTGAATTTATTTTTCTTAATTTTAAGTGCTCATAATGATTTAATAAAATATGCAATAAATTTTAGAAACATTAAAATTCACAAATTGAATTAACTGCGTTAATATTTTAAATCTGTAAATGACAAATATATTTTTCAATTTGACTATAAATGTGATGAATTTGCAAATAAAATTAAATTTTAAAATTTTCTATGTTAAATGACTATTTTATTGATTTTTCTTACTTTTTCATACACATTTAACACATTTTTGATTAAAATAAAATACCTTTTGATAATTATTTAACCTTCTGGTTCCTCCATGATCCTAATTGCAACACAAAAATATCAAAAACTTGTCTAAAATTATTTTTAGGCAGCATTGAAAGTTCCTTTAAAAAATTGGCTTTACTTTTTATTTTTCTTTGATTTTTTACGATTTTTGAATTCAATCTTTTCTCCAAAAAATTCTTCAATATCTTCTTCGCGTGGTGTTGGTGCTTGCAAGTTAATTTCCACCTGATGAGTTAAATTTGGTTCTAAAAACTCTCCATCTAAGCTGTCATCTTCCTGATTCAGAAATTTAAAACTTTGCGAAACTTCATCAATTTGCTCTAATTTCTCGTCATTCTCTTTACGATGACTTGCATACTTTAGTGCTTCACATTCGCTCATCATTTTACCTTCAATCATTACAATATTTGAGAGCTTTTTACCCGGTCCATGATATAATTCAGTTAACATAGCTGGACTAAGATCTTGAACTGATAATGAGCTGGCTCGACTGTGCTGTGTACTACCTCGAGATGATGCTGAGCTTGTGCTGTCTTTAACCTCTAGTTCGTCCATTGACAATATCTTTTCTTCAATTATCTCAACTGTTTCATCAATAATTTCCGTTAATGTATCTGGAGGTGATTTCAATGAGATTCCAACAGGCGATGTCACTGAAGCAAAAGCTTGTTTTGCAAGTTCATGTGCACGTTTTTGATCAGTTTCATCCACATTTCTTTCATATTCAAGTCTTTCTGCTTCAATCCTTTCAGCTTCAATCCTTTCATTCTCGAGCCGTTCTGCTTCAATACGGATCTCTTCAATTTTTTCATCTTCAATTCTAATTTCTTCATCAATCCTATGCTCTTCACGTTTTTGTTCCTGTTTGACTTTTATAAGCTTAATGCATTTATTTGTACACCCACCAACCCATTCAGAAACTAAAGCACCAGTTGCTATCAAAAATCCAATGCCAAGAAGCAAGAACATTCCCTCAGTATCAGCAAGTGTTAAACCTTTTTCTTCTGCGCTAGTAATTTTCAGTGCTTTCCCTTCAGTAATTTGTAAATATGTTCCCGTTTTTGACCTAAGCATATCCCAACGCACATCATTCATAATTTTTTTAACTATCCCACTCTGCTGGAGCATCAATAATCCATCATTAATACGAGAACGGTACACAGAATTTTCACGAAGTGCAATGGATACACCAAAAAGTGCAAAACATTCGTCGCTTACGTGTAATGCAGAGCGTTTGCTAAGTTTTTCATCCGTGAAATTCGTTTGAATGATATATTCGAGTTGTGCACGACTTCCAATGAAAGCATATGGGAAGAGAAAATATGCTGTTGTGACATTTCCTAAGCCTTCACTTAGGTCTCGAACAAATTCCAACTTTTTGAAGAGTCTTGATGTTTCTTTATCATAAGAGTTTAGGAACCTATTTGAAAAATAATGCAAAATTTCATGAATTTAATAAATCATAAAATGAAGTCATACCATCTTTCCCATCCACCTCGATCTAAAGTTCCTACGCGATAAAATGCGCTATTCAATTGTTTGATTGAATCAACCGTTTCTGGATAAACAGGCAATGTTACAAATGCAATTATACTTCCAGTATAGCATGCTGTAATTATGATTGTGAATACCCAATAAAAACCTGTGTAAGTCATATATATATTTTTAATAATAAAAATATTGCGTGCATTAGGCAATAAGAATTTAAGTTACCAATAAGTAATCGTGTCGATGCTTTTTTCGAATTAGACCAACTCATTTCACCAGTGAAGGTCAATGAGTTTGTAAAAGTTCCAAAAACATACCAAAACATGTTCTGCATATAAATAGATTGTTCAGCAAGTCATTTTCTAACATAATTTTCAGATTTACCTCAATTTGGCCTGGTTTCTCGATAAGATATCTAATTGATAGGGAATCAGAGTATGCTAATGGAATTATAGCAAATATGTAAGTAATTGTTACACATAACCAGACAGGCCATTGAAATGGTCCAAGTATAGCTCGGTACCTAATAGTTTCGGTAAATAATTGATTATTAAAAACGGGAAATTAGAAATTTTCTTTCATTTACCTTGGCAATGCTTTTGATGCTAATGTAATAAATGCAGCACAATCAGAGCTGTGAGACACTGTCATTTCCATATCAACATTTCTTTCCTGAGTCACATACAATCCACCAATTCCAATATCATAAAGTCCTTTTGATACAGAATCTGCTACAGCATCTCCAGGTCTAGAAATTTTAATAAAATAAAGTATAGGGGCTTAGAAAGAATTCCAGACCTTTCTACGCCACTGTAAGAGTCCTATACATACCCAAGATGAACCAAGTTTTTCGGCTCTCCCACATCAAATGTAAAATTCATCATTTTTCCGAGTACTTGAAGAATTCGATACTCATATCCATCCCTAGATTAAGAAATAAATTAAATTAAATATTAAGGTTCAGATAACCTTAAAAATAATTTTTCTACCAGCGAATCTGTACATTTCCAACACCATCAGTAGACAATTTTTTAAAAACATATGGAGGAAAATTTGCAGCACTAACTGAAAAGCGATGACCAGCAAATCCTTTTGTTAATTTTATAGGAAATAAATCAACATGAGGTCGTGATAATTTTCCCTTCATCCACGATGTTAACACCAGTGGCTTATTACTTCCCAAACCATCCGTATACAAGCGATGTGTATAAAGCACATAGGGACGCTCTCGTGTCTTATCAGAAGAATAACTTTCACCAATGACAAGAAGATTTATTATATCACGTGATAGTGGCGATGCCAAAAATTCTTGCAATTTCCATTGCGATGAACGTGGTATGATGATGACTTTATTAGTAATTTGCGGTCCAATAACTCGACGTGTTAATAAAGCATCAGACAAGAACAAAATGTAACTACGGCATTTACTGTCAGGTGGTTCAATAATCTGGGAGTTACTTAATGTAAAGTTGAAACTTATTTTTCCGTGAATAAATGTAGATGGAAATTCCTGAAACAATCTTTGAAGGATATAACCTTCAGAATTCTCTATGTATTCATCATATAGGATAACAGGAACGCAAGCTCCTAAATACTTTCCAATAACTTTACTCAGCAATGCAACCAAGGATGTTGATTGTTGATATTCTTGTGTTGTTAAGTTAAAATTTTTCGCCCATATTTCTTGAACGGATTTTGGTTTGCCACGGAATGTAACATCACTGTTCCTTTTTATACGTTCCTCCTTAGTAAGTTTTATTGTAATTGAATCATTTTCATTTTGAAGATTTTGATACGGTGAGTAGTAAAATGTTTCAGGCAGTAAATCGGATATTGTATTTTGATGCTGCAATTTAATTTTGATGCTGTCGTATGCAACTAATTTTTGAAATATCAAATCTGACTCTTTTTTATGGAGGTAACATTCTGATTTTTGGATGCAGGAAGCAAGAATAAGTATAAGAATTTTTATAGAATTTTTATTCATCTTTGAAATTTTCACTTTTAAATGTTTTTAAAATAAAATCATTCTTATTTTACTGACTTAATAATTGAACTTTTTTATTGGGTTGTTAAATTTTAAAAAGTAATCTCAACTTTATTAGATTAGAACTGATAATATGAAGTGATAAATTTTTTTCCACAATTTATATTTGATCACTTAATTCAACACAAGTAATTCCACAAAAAATAATAAAATCAGAATTTTAATATATCCACATTGAGAAGTCCTTAAAATCTTTCAATTTATCCTTTTAAGACTTTTCACTTTTTACATTTTAACCGAACTGATTGAGCACATCACGAAAATTAAAATCAGTAAAGCACATCGCACTTCTTTTATATCATTTTAAGAACTTATTTCCAATCATATCAACTTATTAATAATTTTTCTGTAGTCAAAGTTCAGGTGGAAAAATAATGGAATAAAAAATGCGTTGAAGCTTCATGAAAAAGAAATGTAAAAAGCTTCAAGCAATAAAAATAGACTTATACATCATGAAATCATTCAATAATGATGTTCCAAATAACAAACAGGTATTCTTTTTTGGTTCAAAGATTTTCTTTAAAAAAGTAATTTTGCATAAATTGTTTTAAGTTGTCAATTCCAATCTATTTCCCTTTAAAAATAAACGACCCAAATTTATGATAATTTTTTTTTATTTCATTGAAGACATCATGTTTAAAAATACAAATTATCATTGTGCGTAATTTTAAATTAATGTGGCTGCAAGCCAATCAATATAAGATGCGACTTGAGCATGTGATACTTTATGAGCATCAAGACATGATGATCCAGTACGATAATCTGGAGAATATTGTGCTATCCCAATTACAGTAAGTTTCATACCGTCAATAGAATCCGTGAATGAATAGATTGGACCACCATAATCTCCTAAAGCATAAAAAAAAAATTCAATAATAAAAAATTAAATGAAATAATTTTTATATCCCTACCATTACACATGTTGTTATCACGATCTGGCCATTGTGTGCAAATGATTTTAGAATTTGAATTACAACTTTTAGCTGGAACAACATTAAGTTCTGTACATTGAAGTACTTTTGGCGGACGTGGATAATTGCCGATGGATCCCATCCCACAAGCTCGCACCAAATCATCCACGTACACATCGGCTGTGCTATTTATTCCTAATCTAGCAATTGAAATAGATTCTTAAAAATAAAAATTTTAAAAATTAGACAGAAAATGTAAACAGCTTGTGATTTAAAAACTTGCTTCCATCTGGTATCATTGGAGTCGTCAATTTTATTATAGCAACATCATCGGCATGTGTAGTTGAATTATACGTTGGATGGATATAAACTTTCAAATTGTAGTTAACAAATTCTGTTGGTCGATATTGTGGAAAAGTAACATTTATTGCCGTAGCAATACCTTCAACTGGACTAGAATTGATTATTACAATAGAACGCTTGTTCACTTAAACACGCTGTTTAATTACTTACTCAAAAACACATGTTGCAGATGTAAGCACATATTGTGAAGCAATCAAGGTTCCACCGCATTTCTGTCCTTGATTCTGAAAAACAATATTCAACACCACATAATCCAAATTTTCTCCTGGTTTTGCATCTTTCCCTGATCCAATTTTAAGAGATGCTGAACTAGTTTGACCAATCACAAATGGAATAAAAATCAACAAAATTTTTACAGTTTCTCCACGAAACATTTTTTTTTGTGTCGTTCACTAAAACTTCACTTGATGAATGGAGAAGTGGCTTTAGATTGCATTGATCTTTTATAGTGAAATGTTGTCAATCTAGAAACCCACGCAAAAAGAACCGTTGGAAGAAAGCACATCTTCCAAATATTGAGTATCAGCAGCATAATGTTTTATAACAGTAATGCTTACGATTTATACTATCTTGAGTCAATTTATATCACCAAAATAAGATCAGATATAGAGTAGCATCAGTCAGAGTTGTCACTTATCAATTTCCTATCAAATACAAAAATCTATCACAGGCAGTTCTTTTTTTGCTTTTGACTACGTATGTCTTTACATAGGTGTGACTTGCACAAAGACAAAAGCTACCATTCTCTAATGAGGCACCTTTCTAAAGTTCACGATGTAAAACGACACGTCCTAGTTATTAATATATTGTATCTTGCATTTAGTATAGAAAATTTGCAAGCGGTAGCCAGTGATAGAGCCAGTTTTAGGTGGCATTTGAAGGAGACCATAGATCACAATTAATCTGTAAGGTCATCGAAGTAAGTAAGTATCGTGCTTCTTGGTCCCTTACTACAGCTCCAATACGTCATTTTTAAAAAAATATGAATTAAAGACTAAAATTTCAATTTTTATCTAAAAACTTTTATTATTTATTAACAATTCTAACTTAAAATTTCACTCACATGATTTGTTTATCTATAATCTACCTTATTCACAATTTAAATTTTGTATAGAATTTTTATATATAAAGCTTTTCATTAACAAAAAAGTATAAATAAAAAAATTCATTTTAATTTTTACAAAATATCATTTGATAAACTTACAAAATCACTTTTAGTCGTCACTTGCTGCGTCTGTATGATACATGTTTTTTTAGTGCAAAAGAAGAAACAAATTTGTTGGAAATAACAAAATGTTTTAAGAAGAAAAATAAGAAAAAGTGACGAAGAAATGCATTTTTTGACTATAAATTCAATATGCTTCACTTTCAGACGTCTGAATCTACCCATTCAATTGTAGCTTCTTTTACATATGAACAATATTTGATTCTAGAGTTGGAACCTTTATGCTGATAACGAATTTTTATTCGGTAAGGTGTTGTTTGCTCGAGACATTTTTCAATCTTAAAGAAATTGAATTTAAAGTTAAAATGGCTACCTTGCAGGATTTTCATAAAAATAGCACTTACAAATTAAATAAATTGACATGCAAGCATAAAAGTTACCATCTCTGAATTCATTTAGCACCACAAACATATAAAATTGAAAAAATGTTGAATGGTATAAAGCTAGAATATATATACAGTAAGATACATGTCATAGAGTTTTAAGAAGGAGGAGTACATGGGTAAAGATATTGAATTTCTTCTTCTTATTTGAAAATCACATTTCTTTCAATTTTCTCGACGACAGTTTCGATGCTCGATATTGAATTGTAGAGTGATGTTAATAAAATTATTCGTTTACCACTTTGTACATCAACCTCAACCACACTCCACTTTTGAAGTAATTTAAGACAATTTCTAATTGAATCAGTCGATATTGCTTCACCATATGTGATGGTACCGTCGTTGTACTTTTCGGTTATGCGATTTATGCATAATTTAATGAAATCACTTTCGAGTATGTGTCCTTTCTCAAAGATATCTAGAAGGCACTCTGTGGTAGTCCAATATGTGATATTAAGTGCTGCCATAGATGATAATAATGTTTCGGATAATTTAATGTTAAGTTCATATTCATCCGAGCCTTTAAGTTTTGTCAATGAGCCAAGCTTGCATAGACGTTCGACAGTTAATTGAATTTGATCGTTTATGTTCTGACAAGGCTTGTGAAATATAAATTCATTACGTAGAACATCACAATAGAGTAATGTTGAGTCTATAATATCATTCATTGTTAAACTTGAACAATTATTCTCTTTTAGTTCCGCTGCGATTCCTGTTAAAACTGCAGCATCTAGTGCAATGTGTGGTGCAAATGTTTGTGAATAGTAAAATGTCTCTACAACATTTGGAATTGACAATACTGGAGCAATAAAAATGTTACCGTTTACATCAACGTTACGATCTATCATGTCAGTGCCAAGCAATTCGACTGCAGTCATTATCACATTTTCTGACGGCTCATCAAATCCAAAATCGCGTTTTCCTTCAAATTGCTCTCGAATTTCGTCTAACGAGCTTACAAGTTCCTTTAATGATGCACCTTTTCGGTATTTATTCAAAAGTAGAAATGATAGAGCATTTGTAGACATAATTGACATTGCCGTGCAGCTATCATAAACAACATGACGTCCTATATTATCCACAAGTGCTCTATGTTTATCAGTAAATTCCATTTCGCCGTACACTGATGTCATTGATGGCTTCGAAATTAATCGTCTTACAGATGGAACTGGACGTGGAACTGATGCTTTACGTTCCTTAAACGATTTAACGAGTTCTCGTAGTGAAAATGGCTCATTAAAATCGATTCTCATAAGACCGTATTTAGCGTTAAGAACTTTCCAGATTGAAGCAATTGCTTTTCTAAATGATTCCTTCTTCTTTGGTATTCCCAATTGCTCACGAACAAAACTGCCATCAACAAGTTTTTCGTAATTTACCGAAACTGGTACGAGAAGAGCATCATCAATGAGGCCATCAACAAATGCGTCCACAATTACTGATAATATGCCACCCTATAAAAAAAGAAAATGGAAAGAGAAATTGTAAGAAATTCGAAATAAAAAAATTTAGGAATAAAGTTTTTGCAGCCACTCAGTAGTCACAAGATGAAAAGGAAATGAAATGAAAGAAATATTTGAATCGTCATGGGATATGGAAAAAGGGTCAGCAAAAATGGATAATACGATTTGAGAATTTTGAATGTCGGGGCCATGAAGTAATCCGAAGGAAATTTGTATTATCTGATATCCCATGAAGCATACAAGGCAGTGAAATCAAGTAATGAAATTTGTGGATAGAAAAATTTAAGAAAAAATTAATGCTTCATCGACCTTGACTTTTCTTAGAGTCCTTCAAAGACATGATCTCATGTCATTTTATTGCATTACTTAAGAAGACAAAATATAGTTCAAAAGCAATCGAATCAAGATAATAAAGGGCAAGAGTGACATTTAGAACTTCACAATGTGAAACGGGTGGAAGCAAGACAAACACAAAAAGTTTTCAATACAAGAAACTTTAACCCCAATTTTCATCCTTTTTTTCTGATATTTTATTTGAATAGAAACAAACCTTTGGCAATCCCGGTTTTCCAGTTCTTGTTCTCCCTCCCTCGATGAAGAATTCAATGTTATGACCTGCACTTATACTCTCTTCCATGTATGTCTGCAATAATCCACGATAAATATAATCCTTCTTTCCATCATCACCGTCAATTTTTCGTCTGATATAGAAAGCTCCTAAGCCCCTGAGTAAGAAGCTATTGATGACAAAGCATATTTTTTATTATTACTGTTATTGAAGAAAAATGCAGTTTAATGCACTCACCCAAAGACGGGGATATTAAGGTTCTCTCCAGCGCAGACTAGTGGTGATCTAAATTTAGTAATGGAAATAAGAAAGAGTGTTTATTAAAGTCTCAGCAAATGATATTATCAATATTAAAGATGATGTTACAAAAATATTTAATAATATTTGAAGACTATTGAAGACCTTGAAAGACTCTGAAGATCTTTGAAGATACAATTTGAATGTAGAATGTGAGAATTTTCATATTATTGGAAATAATTGAATTAAAGTCAATAGATACAACTAGTAAAAAGAAATTCCATACTAATTATGAAGAAAATCTGAACAATATTAAATGCAAAATTATAGCTTATGGATGTGATAAACGTTATATTGATTTAAAGTCATTTATGCAGCACGCCACTATGGTCGCAAACAAAAAGGAAGATGAATTTAAATGTGGCACTTGGAATGCCACGTAAGGACCAAAGGCCCGTTAACATAGCATTTGAAATCTTATTGAATTTTTAACTGTAGCACTTAGTACGCAATAGCAAATTTGGTCACACTAATCTTATTCATAAATATAACATTTTTTTCTTCATTAATTATGATTTACATTGGTTCTTACTCAATTTAAAAGTTCAAATTTTTTTTTTCGAGAAAAGTACGTGGTTGGTCGCCAAAAGACAGAAGACACAATCACTGTAAGCTATAAAAAATGAGATTATTGCAGTTGTGTACTTACCTAATATCATTATTAAGTAGAATGAATGTCACAAGAATGTAATCCAAATGACTTCGATGTAATGGCAAGAAGACTAATGGCGTATTTGGTAATTTCTTTTGTGCAACCTTAAGCATTTCTATTTGTGCGGGATGTGCAACGACGCCAGATAAGAACCATGGTAATAGTTTATAAAGCACGTACGATGTTAGTCTCAGAAGTCCATCTGATAAAGCATGTCGCATGTCACAAAGAAGTTTATGTGCTCTCTTCTTAGATTTATCAAGCATTTTCTCATAATAAATATCTTCCATTTCAAATGATACATCACTTTCACGTACGGCATCTTTTGCAACTCTTTCAATTTCATGCTGAATACGCTTGTGATTTAAGACACTTTCAAAAATTGGCTTGTATTTGTACTTTTTAACGCGAAGATTTTGTGCCACATGAGGAAAATATGAACCCCAATCGTACTTATTTGTACTTGGCGCATGTTGAGTCACCTTTAAAATATCGACGGGTTTTCGTGCACGATCGAAAATATTTATCTGCGATTCCTGTAATTAAAATTGGAGAAGGAAGAATTAGTTATGAATTTTTGCTCATTTTTATGTTCAATGATTTTGTAATATTTCATTCAGAGTTGAATCTGTAGCACATTCTGAATGATTTCTAATAATTTGCATTACCAGAATTTTTATCAAAAATCAACTCTGAATTTTTTAACATTTCAATGAATCGACAAAAAAAAAATGGAAACGGAAAAAATCGAATAGGGAAGAAAAATTTTAATTAAAAACGGTACACATCTGTTCATCACAGAATGTCACTGAGAGCATTGGAACAATGGTTTTTTACCTGATGCATGTTTGCATGTAAATGAAAATTCGAACACAAAAAGGTAGCGTGAAGAAAATTCATATTTATATTGCAAAAAGATACAGCATAAAATCAACATTTATAGGCAAAATATCATGTTAAAATTTTTTTATGGATGTTGATGACTTTTGCGAATAATTTTGAAAACCTTAATAAATATTTATCTTGCAAAAATCAAGTGCACCAGATGAATATTTAGAATTTTAAAGGTTAATTCTTTCCCATATAATATGATGACTAATCAGGCTGTTCAGCACAAAATGAGCTGATTTAAACTTTTTTAGTCATCTGTTGAGTTTTTTTTTTCACAAAATCCATTATATTTTCAATTTGAATCTTTCCTTTTCTACCTCAATTCATCATTCGATCCCTAATTCAGCACATTTTACCTTCCCTCAACATATGAATCGCCTCAATTCACTTCTTTTCAATAATCCACAAAAAAGGAGAAAAATTTAAAAAATTCAAATCACCTTCCATCCACAAAAGAAAAACTTCCTTGAATATTTTACAATTCACAAAACAAAACAAAAAGAAGGAAAAGAAAGTACAGCAAAAAAGGAATGTCAAGTATGTTTCACACATCCCAAGATCCATCAATTATGTAAAAACTTTCATTCTCTTCTCAGCATAAAACGAAGCTTATTCAACAGCATACAACCTGTCTTTATTCATTCGGTTCAGTTGATTGAACGCATGAATAGAATATTATATGCACATACATACGTACAAGTGTCGATATAAAATATTGAAATCACTCTCTTATTCTTAAAAAAAAAAGAGTGGATGAAGTCTCGAAAATAAAGAAAGAAAAAGACACAAAAAGAAAAACTTTACCGGTATACCATGCCTTACTTAATATGTATTGTAGAAGAAACATGAACTTGAATGAGTCAATTTTTGTTTTTTATTATTCACATCACATGTCTTGGAAGATATACAATTTTAGGCACACAAGCACACCGTATGTGTGTTGATAAAATAAATATTATGTAAGTACGTTTAGGATAGTAGCAACATAAATAAAGTATAAATAGATGAAGGTGAGGTTATCTACAAGATTTTTCAATCTCAAGAAGGAAATGACTGATGAAGCATAGAGGAAAATTGATGAGATTGCATATGTAGCAATGGAATGAGAGAACGAGAAGAGTTGAAGGGTTGGCAAATTTTTTTGACATTTCTAAGACGAGAAGAGAATTATTGATGGGATTGTGGAAGATATGAAATTTTTCATGGTCAATGTTGTTAGTGTTTCTGTTGAAATTGAGGAAAAGACAATAGATGAAGGTTAAATGGAGGTTTGAAATTGTAAAAATAATAACGTAAGGACAGAATTTTCAAAGATATTGATCAGAAAAGGTTTTTTTCTTAATTTACAAAACTAATGCTGGAAATTGACATCCACAAATCTTAATAAAATCAATTCACGTACCAAACAACCTCAGTCAATAAAAATCATCTTATATATCTAATAAATGCACGACTAGAAATAAAAACTTACACTATTCGTGCTCTTAGAGCAATCCCGGCAAATGAGACCTTCCATTGGTAAAATTGATGATTCATCATCTTTAATATCTCCATATCCATTTGATAGCTGTTCAAAAAAGGTATTAAAGAGTCACATTTAGTCATTGAACCGAAAAAAAAGGATAAATTAATTAATGACACAACTCACTTGATCAGCATCCTTTAATGTTGTCTCGCTTTTGGTATACTTTATGTGCTCACTATTAAATCTGTTAATTGATGTTTTCTCTTTCATTATATCATTATTGTTATCGTTCTGTCTATTCACATCTTCCGATACAAGATAGCTGTATGCATCATGAAATCTCGTCGTCAAAATATCAATCATTGTGCTGGTGCTGTTTATCGCACATAAAAAAATAAAACAAATTCTTAATGTCTTTATTCATATCAAGTGCAAATTTAAGGTCAAAATGTGAATGAATAATTTCTTGAAGATTTGCAATTTGTATCACGTAATGTTCAATAGTAAATCAAGGTCTGTGTCAATGAGCTTTTGTTTGTTGATTAGCTGAATTTACTGACTACAAAATTAAAATCGGGAAATTTTAATGCAGTTTCAATTGAAAATATATTAATTACTGAAAAATGTATTAAGAAAATTTAACTAGAACTCCTTCATTTATGACGTTCAACAAAGATGAATTCTCTATAATTTCTGATTCTGTTCTAAATCTTTGTAATGATTTGCAGTTTAACTTTTTGACCAAGGAAACCTAAAAATCTCAATTTGAATGACGACACAAATGAATGATCCCTAAAATCAATTTGTTTAAAACAAGGAATTGACGTAAACGTTTCGATCAAAAGTTCAATCAAATATCACTAATAAATTTGATGAGATAAGGACTCGCAGTCAAATTCCACATTAATAAAAGTATTTGTCCCACATTACTTATTTCAATAAATTTAGTCTTATCGTCACTAAATGCATCAGCTTAATTAAGCTGGAATCTATTGATTAGAACGTTTATAATATTAAAATGAGCTCCACGAGTATCAGAAAAATATTAAACGCAGCAACAAGCAACAATAATAGAAATAGAACAGCTATAATAAAGAAGAAGTAATTCCAATCGGGTCAATAGGAGAATTATTTCGTTGACGTCACTGTCATTTAGCACGAATAAAAGTGCATTAGTATGGTTAAATAAAAAGAAGCACTCCTGAGTTCATATGAACTCAACAGAACTAGGAAAACAATAATTTCCTGTAAAATGAATGATACTCATTGCCGCACAATCATAAATCTCTGTAAATGCCAGCTTGTCTAGGTAACAAATGTATAGTAACCATAAAATTTCGGTTTAGTATTAGTGTGCAAATATTTTTGTTATTAATTATAAGTAGGAAATATCAACAGCTGACTATAAATACGCGTGTACTCTGTCAGCTGTTATCATCGATAAGGAAGAAATATTATTGGTAAATATCAAGTAAATATTAAAAATCTTTCAGGATTATTGACGACTTAAGCTGTTTTTCAAAGATAAGACGGAAATACCATTGCTGCTGTTATGATAACATTTTTATAGTATTTAATTCGTGTTTTTTAAGGTTTAAATCTATTTATCATAAAAATTATCTTTCTTCTTTGTAACTTGTTAAGATATCAAAGATAATTTACATTTCTCAAAGTTCTTTATCTTGATTATGCTTTCATTAATCAACAAATTCATTTTTAATCACAATAATCCTAAAAGCTCGTGTCCTTCGAAGTAAACCACTAAATATAATCTTATCTTTTAATTCTTAGAGCTTATCAGACACCATACAATGTACATATTATGAACATCGGACAAATGGTATCGGTTGCTTTTATCAACTAATTCCAATGTAATCTTGTTGTCAAAAAATAAGGATTTAAGATTATCTCTACACACCCAAAAGACTTGATAAATGTTTCTATTAAGCCACCTGCTTTGTTATAAAGTTTATTGTAATTCAAAGTTTATTTGTAACCCCACACGATGATTCTATAGTTGATCAAGTTTATTGTTAAGAGAGATTAAGATATGTTCAAGTGCAAAGTATTACGACTCCATTCAGCATTATCAATATCTTAGCAACAGTCTATAAAACATAAACATAATTTCAAAGAAAAATCAGGTCAAGGGCAGAAGTAACTTTAAAATCAAAATTTGTTCAAAAAAGATAATTTTGGTAATGCCTTATGTGAATGACCCCTTTAAAATTCACAGCAATAAATCATGAAATCATCATTGATAATCTTCAAGGCCGTTGTAATTTAAAGTTCAAGAGCGTTCAAAAATATTTTTAAAAATACATAAAGTTGATTACGTCCATAACACAGCAAGTACAAAATTATCAAAATTTTTTATCAAATGACGTACGAAGATATTTTCTTTATCATAAAAGTAGGATTTTATTAAGTCGCAAAAATCACAGAACTCCAATAAGCCAACAAGTACAAAGTACAGACATAATGATTTTCTGAAATTGAGTGGAAAAAGACCTCTTTTCAAAAAGGCTCAATTCAGATGCAAAATTTTCATTTTGAATGCAGCCTTTGGGGTTTCACACATGCATTTCCTATCCATGTGCAATAAATGTCGATGATCAATCAATCGAATAATTGAATGAAAATGAACGTATGGTGGGTAGATATCGATATGTTGAATGGCAATTGCTGTTGCCAATACAACCTTTTTGTGTAATTAATGACGATTATTGAATGTCGATAATTTAGAATTCTGAACAATAAAAAAAAAGCCTTTGAGAATTATTTTAAATTCATACTACTCAATTAAATTTAATTTACTAGGTTGGTAAATTTTTCGAATAAAATTCTTTTGAACGAGATCTAAAGTAATTTGTTAATGAACCAATTTGCCTGAATGCATTGAAAATAGGTTAATGAAGAATTTTGTGTTCAATTTTAGTCCCATTTATGTTATGCTGCACATTTTTGAATTGTTATGTGAAATGAACAATTTGAATATTTTTTTTGGTAAAATGACTGAAAAATTTGCTTTAAAAGAGATTTCAGCAGTTGCTTCATGTTTTACTTATTAAACTTCTGGAAACTATGATTTTGCAAGGTCAAATGTTTTTATTTCTGACGTAAAACCATTTAATGTAATATCACAGAAAGCTTGAAATTAAATCACTGCACAAAAAGGTTAAACACACATCCATACCAAATCATGTCTAGACGAAATATCATAAAAAATAAATTAAATCATTTTTAGCTTCTTATTCAATGAAATCTAAAGTGAAACTATATTTTAAAGGTTCATTAAAACAAATTTTACATGAAAATAGGTTCAATTTCTCATGTGTAGACTCCATGAGCTCTTCAAGGTTAATGAATTCATTGAAAATAATTTAGTTCTTGAGGTCAACTTTGGTTTTCATTTTTTACGAGCTGTTTGATATTTTTGCACAATATCAAACAAAAAAAAAAGCCGAAATAAACAATAAACGCCGGTAAAAATGTGTGCGTTAAAAGAATCATTTCCAATGAGATGCAAAGAAGAAGTGGCATCCGATCATACGATTGAAAATTAAAATTCTCTCACGAGAGGATCTTACTATTAGATAACACTGTATTTACTAATTTATAGAGATAAACGAGAATTAACAAGAGAGAGAGAGAATATCATGTGGTGTGATCATTCCAGTCGCGTGTACTGTAATAACAAATGATAACCTAAAATGCTCTCAAATTGACACAAAAGTTTACAGAATCACGTTTTGCTACGCTATTGCTTTTCGAAAATGTTTAATTAAATTAAACTTAAAACCTTAGCCGTGCACTGATGTGTGAACTATTTTTATATGTCCCAGTGGTTTTACTCGTAACTGATGCAAATAGATACCAAGTTGAGCTTTCAATTAAATGCAAAACTTTCCGCATTTGAGTTTGAATAGTTTAATTTTTGAAACTGTCAATCATTTGGACTCAAAGTTTAATGAACGAAGAATTACACAACTTATACTTAAAAATACTAAATCGAGCTTGTCAGGTTACTTTTGAAAAAACTTTCTTTTAACTATCCAGCATAATTTCGATACTACAATATTCTTTCTGTCTCTAGATATTCATTGAAATAATGTTAAACTTTGAGTCTTGTTTAGAATCTTAATTTAAGCAGACCCGAGCGACAGTTTGTAGCGATGGCAGTTGTGTGACTGCCTCAAAACTGTCTTGTCTTAAACAAGTCGATTACAAGGCACTGCTTTGTAGTAAGTGGCACTATTTCTTGTTAAACTCTTAATTAATGATATTTTTGGTCTTAAAAATAAAAGTAATGATGCCAAAAATCGATCCTTAGAAATCATGCCTTAATCAACATCTTTGAAAAAATTCTAAAGATTAATGAACATATTTGAACATTAGAATGTGCATTTACATTCTGATGGTCTTGTTTTCTCCTTTCATTCTCGAATCTCTTATAAATCAATCGCACGATTATCAAAAGCGGAAATGTTCACTCAGAAATTGTCGCAGCTTTTCCTTTTGTTTATATTTTCTCAAGAGCTTTTTCTCAGTCTCGGAAACTTAAATTGCATTCAAAACGATGAGAATTTTAATTCTACTAAGTATCTCATTCTTAGAAAAAAACCTAAAATGCACTTTTATTTTCATGATATTATTCAAACATGATTGAAACTAGTTGAAGTGAAAAAGCAATGACACTTGACAATTCTCTGTCTCTATGATCTTTACATCAATAAGAGCAAGTGAGTTGATACTGTATTTCTTTTTGAAAAAATAAACAAAGTGCTTTATGCATTTGATATTCTCAAAAGTAAGAATCACTCAATTGGAAATTTGCATAATCATTAATGTGAAGTTGAGGGAACTTGTCGGAATTTAAAATCATCAAAAATCTTTGTTTTGAGTTTTTAAAATTGAAAGCTTTTTGCACTTGAAAGTATGTATGCTAATCCTACTAAGGTTTTGTACTCAAAACTTTATTGCATTTTTGCACGATTTCGACTTTAAACTTATTTTAAAGTTTATAATAAGAATACTTGTTAAGTTTTTATATAAGTCAAGTTAGCTTTAGAATCTATAGATTGAAAGATGACAAATATTCAACAATTCGCATTTGAAACACAAGACTTAGAATCAAAATGATTCTAGGGTTCTTAAATTCAGTATTCTGGATCCCTCCTCTAGCAAGGCTCTTACAAATTTTTGTTATTTGTTTCTCAAAAATCATCTGACTTGCTGTTTTTATCAGTTTCAGTTCAGTTGTTTCCAAATACAAATTAACATGAAGTTTTGAAGGTTGAAGTTTAACCAACACTGACTTACCGATTCTTGCCAATAAAGTAGCTAAAAATGCACACAAGAATGAAAAATTCTAAAAGCCCAATCATTTTGCCTTCGTTTTTGGTGACTCCTTTTGATGCTTTTGAATTTTTGTCTTAACTAAACATTTGATTAGTTCAATCAAAATAATTTTAAGATATACTCGCGAGATCTCACGTTTCTTTCAGTGTGCAAAAGAAATATTTTGTTTATTTTTAACTTTTCATTCACTTTCGTTTTAATTTTTTTTAAAGTTTATTTTATTTTTATTTTTAAAGTTTCTTAAATGCTCTTTTTTATAAGGCACACACTTTGTGTACTCTTTTCACAACTTTTTTTCTTCTCTTTTTTTTTTATTTAAACTTTATTATTTCTTGCGACTTCTTCGCTCGCTAATCAATTAAGAAATGAATTGAATTTGCGCCTAGCTCGTCTCATTTCAATTTTACTTCTACAATTTTTTTTTGCGCGACTCGCGATACAGTTCACGATTATTTTGTTTTTGTTGTTACTCTTTTATTATGATGTATGTAAGTTAAATACAATTAAAGCGGGTTGGGGTGTATTGAGGTAAAATGAAGTCTTCCAGGAAATTTATTGGAGTAGATTGTCAAGTTCCTATGTGTTTACAGTACATCGCACTTTGTGTATTATTAAATTTGTTATTTTTTATCAATATTATCTAAAATATTATTATAAGAGGAATCGGTCATATTTAATTCTCTTCTTTTTAGCTTGGTATGAGTTGATTTTTGCTTTACATTATTATTACTGATAACGAGTTATCGAAAAGCTGTTTGATTAAGTCAAATAATGAATGAATATGTAATTAAAAGGGAACAATTTATGATCAGCTGATGGATCTTCTTTTTATTGACTCTCACACTTATTTTCTCACTTTTATAATTTTTACTCTCTTACTTTCTCGCGACTCTTTTTTCTGTGATTTTCCTTGCAAGTAAAATGAGTGATCTTCAAATTCAGATTGTATATATCATGAAATATTCATGTGCATTGCGAAAAATTGATTAAAAATTTGCATAACGCTCTTGTTTTTAAAATGATAAGGCTTCGATCCTTATTTTACTTTTAAGATTACTTCTAGACTGCTTTGTGAGTCGAGTCTCTGAAAATCTAATCATTTAACTTTTGTCGAGCACTTTAGATTGATTTTAGAGATTGAAAGGATTTAGATAACTTATTGTCGATAACTTTGATGGAAAAGTTTCTAAATGATCAAAGTTCCTTTAAAGTATCTTCTAAATTTTGAAACAAAGCTCAAAGTAAGAATATAGAAATTATATATCATGGAAGATAGGTATCATTAAATATAGAATCTTCGATTAGTGGCAATCGTGTTCAAATTGTATCATTCGTCAAATGTAGATGTCTACACTAGATGAAGAATGTAGATTCTTCAATAGTTTTCGTCTAGCTAAGAAACTTTCTTCATAAAGATCGATTCTACATGAAGATAGAAAATCTAATCTACACAAAGATTATTTCTACATAAAGATTCGATGTAGATGTCTACAATTCTACATTTTTTCTAGGTCTACATCAGAGAAGAATGTAGAATTGTAGACATCTACATCGAATCTTTATGTAGAAATAATCTTTGTGTAAATTAGATTTTCTATCTTCACATAGAATCGATCTTTATGAAGAAATTTCTGTCTCAGAATTTATCTGATCCAGACAAATCGCCAAAATCCAACACTGTTCGTCACTCTACAAATTGTACAAAATTGGGTAAAAAATTTGTCATGTAAGTAAAATGATGTCTCACACCTCGTTTTAGGAATACACTTGTGTAAACTGAGTATTTACCAGTATTTACACATATTTGTATTCAAAGCATCTTAGACTTTATATTTTTTTCTTTCTGTAACTTAGGATTTATAAAAGAGAAACTATTGATGCTATTACTGCTATTATGAATGCAGACTTTTTTTGGACGAAAACTTTTATGATTTGATGAAGAGAGCTTAAGCGTCATAAAAAAAAAAATCCGTAGATTCTGCTTCTAGCCATGATATCCATATAAAACCTTCATCTGTGTCATTAGAAATTTAAACTAAAATGACACAATTCGGTTGATCGATTAAAAATCTGGCGCCAAGCAGGCATGACTCTGGCATGAGGCTGGCTTCGATTTAAATCCAGTACCATGTCAGAGTTACACCAGCTTAGTGCTGGATTTCTGATCGATTGATTGACTAGTGCCATTCGGGTAAACTAGATAGATATTCTTTTGGTCACTATAAACTATTGGTCACATAAAAAGTAATGAAAATATCTCAATTCAAGATATAATAAATAAAATGTCTTAAAAGTAATTGCTAGGAAATGGCATTGAAATTACATATCGATTAACAATAAGAAAAAACAATTTCACTTATAACTTCTATCACCATGCAATTGAGTGAAATTGATATCGTTAAGGCTCAAATAAATAGGAAAATTGTGCAGTAAGAAAACATTGACTCAAGATTGCAATAATACAATGTGTGTGATTCGAGCACCTTCATAGTCCATTGTGTGTAAATTTAGCCGGTAATGAATCGAATCAATATCAATCCTATGCTTATTGACAGACGTGATTTACATCACAAACTGAAAAGATCGTAAAGTGAACAAATGTTTTGTGTTGCTGAACCTTTGGACCTGATATCACGTAAAACTTTAAATCTTTAATTTATTTTTATCATTCCATAGTAACAGGCATTAATCAACACTGAGAACTGACTGAAAATTATTTTCCATAACATTACACTGATTCGTGCATTTGTATGCAGCTCTTTTATTATGTAATGATAAGCACTAAGTGAATTTAGCTACAAAATCTCAAAATTAAGTGCAAAAAAATATTATGACTTGAATTAAGATACCAAAAGAGTTAAAATCTCAGTCTTACTGTCACGAGGTCATTTAAATAAAAAGAATCTTTCTGGTGACGTAAAATTTCTCAATTAATGAACCGACTTTTCGATGACTTGTCAAATTCTTTCTGTAAATTAATTTGCAGATTTATAATCTTACAATTTTAATCAATCATTATCAGCACTAGTCAGCAAATGTCTTTATTTATTTGTCACTTTAATTCAACAAAATAGTTTTTTATTTCTTTATCTAGATACTAAGCAACTTTTTCACATTTTTCTCACTTCCAATATCTTTTTTTTGGTCTCAAAAATTGCTGAACGAATTTTCAAAGATAAACTTAAAGTAGGAAAGAATGCCGACCATAAAATGTAGATATAATCACAATAAAAACAAATGAAACGTGTAAGGCTGTCTGGCTTAAAATTTTGGACACGCTCTCAGATAAGAGGATTAAATTTTATCAAACAAAGTTCATTGTCTAGATTGCAATTTTGAGGATTTAGATATCATACAATGTTAGCACAGGCGAAATTCTACTTTAAATACTTGTCGTATAACTACATTCAGAATATTGAGAGAATTATGAGAGTGAAAAAATATTCTTTGGAATTATGTACGAGAGTTAAATAATTAGAGAGCTTAAAAATTCTCAATTTCTCTTCTTCCCACAAACACCACGTGGTTGTCGAATGAAAATATTATGATCTTGAAATTGGGTTGAATTGTCTGGCTGCATATTTGAGTTCAATATTTAGGGTTATTGGGAGATTTTCAGAGTTCCTATTACTTTATCATCAATGAAATTGAATCTTTTTTGTAATTTAGCTTTTGACATGGACTTGGAAACTAGTGATTTTACCCAAATAGCACAAGTCGGGTAATCGAATAGAAAAAATGACTCTGGTATGGTTCTGACCTTTGATTTAAATCCAGTACTATGCCAGAGTCACACCAGCTTGTTACCGAATTTCTGATCGATTAATTGACTTATGCCATTCGGGTTATACACAAAATAAGAAGAAACTGTAACCAACCAGGTTTTAAAGGTCTCTGTCAGGACTCTTTCTGTCTTATCAATTAAGAACGTATTAAGTGAACTATTCTATTTGAATAGTCAACAAACGACCAAAATGTATTCATTCTCGCACTTAAAAAATCAAGAAAGGAAATAGTCTGGACAAAAAGCGATGACTTTCCTAAAGCTGATAATTTCGTTGGCAATGAAAATTCAATCTAGATTAGTTGCTAGCCGTTCATTTACTATCAGAAAATTAAACACAAGTTATAATCCACATGTAGTTTTCTATCTGCTTAAAACTGATTAATTTGTCCAACATATCCGAGTAGATCCAAGTCTTAATTTCTTATCGATAATTAGATATTTTATGGGATAAAATGAGTCAACGAACTGAAGTAACAGAAAAAAGATTCCTTAGTTACAAGAGTAGATTATTATTGCAGTTGGCAACATGTTATGACTCACTTGGGTCGTCTAATAATTTTAGGGGTTTCAAAACTCAACACGTATATATCGTAAACATGGAGCTAAAGAAGATTGTTCAAAAAAATTATGTTAAGTTTTACATTTTGTAGGAATGGCTTTATAGTTTCAACATTAACATTTCTGTGTAAGGGGCCGTTCACTTATGACGTCCGACATTTAGGGGGGGAGGGGGGTCTAGGATTTTGTGACAGTTCAAACAATGGGAATTTTTTTCTATAGAATTTTTGTGACAGAAGGGGGGAGGGGGGTTTAAAAATCAGGTATTTTGATGGACGTCATAATTGAACGACCCCTAAGATGACTATTAAAGCTTGTTAAAAATCACTAGGATACTTGTTGATATCTCAATTTTTATTATTTTCTTTAAAAGTAAATTTTACAAATTTTCATTTCACAAAGAGTGTCTTTAAATCACCATTCACAAATTAGATGATAGTTTTAAGTTTATTTTGAAATTATTACTATTCGTTTTGTCTTTGAAATGTCTCTTTAACACTAAACGTGACTTGCTTGCATTGTTCTTCAATTTGTGAAAAATAACAGATTTTTCTACATTTCTAATGTGCTTAATTTACAATCATTTTTAACTAATAAAGCATTTATTTAAAGTAAAAGAAAGTAACGATAACTCTTAAAATATTCGAAAATACTTTATACTGTTCAACTTGCTGTTTCATTCTCGACATTCCATTTCCTAATATATCATGAATTGAAAAAATCATTATTAGTCATCATGAACAAATTTTTGAACAGCTTTAAAAGAACTTTAAGAAATGCGTTTGCAGTAAGTTTGAGAAATATTTTGAGGATTCTTTAAAAAGAACCACAATAAAAAAAAGTTTTTATTTAATAAAAGAAGCTGATTTAAATAATCAGGTTAAAATGTTAAATTCAGTTTCTACGTCAGGTTTAGTGTTTTTGGGTTTTCGGTTAAATAATTTTAACTTAAGTCAAAAATTTGTTCATGAACAGTGAAAGTTTATTTCATCAAACTGTTTTTGTCAGATTTGTCAGCTTACAAATCTTATTTATAGGCTATTCACTAATGACATCCGACATTTAAGAGTTTGTGGTTTCAGAATCTCCGTGTAGATTTAACAATAAATTTATAGATGCCATTAGTGCTTGAACATTTCAAATCCCTTTATAGTCTTTGACTTCAACAAGATTTTAGAGGAGCTAAAATTATTTGCTGATAAAATCTTTTACAATTTTAAAACGATCATAATTGGACTTCATTTTGTCAAAGAAATCTGTCGCGTTCGGCATATCTTCAATAATACGTTTTTGTTTTGGTGATAGAACTTGATGTAGAGCAATTATCACGAAAATTCCAGGGATTATAAAATTAAGTCGATAAATTGCTTCTTGACAGTACAAAACTGATACAACTGCGATGATGTACAAGGTGCTGCTCACAATTTTGTAGCCCATTCTAAATAAAATTCAATTTGCACATTAAAAATAGATTTTGACAATTTAATTAAAAAGTTCTTACACATCTCTTGGTGTGTTAAATTGCCAAATAAATCCAAGGCAAGCCAATACAACTGTTGCTGATATTCTCATCGGATCGGGGCTTAAAATTCTTGTAAAATGATAATTTTTTGCCCATGTTACAACGCTCGGTAAACCAAGAATCGTAATGACAACTAGCAAGAAGAACAAAGGCAAATGAAAATTAATCTCATCCAGTCCTTCAGTCAACGAATCATATTCTACTCTTGAAAATCCCTGATTCTTTTCATTCTTTAACTTGTCTTCACGTTGTTTTGTCATAAGTTCTTCCAGCATTTTCTCTATTTCCTCAGTTGATTTGTCTTCATCACTCTTTTCTAAAATACTCTGCGAATCTGATTTGACTAGAGCTTTTTGCTCTGCATTATCTATGAGATCATTTTCTTTGGATACATTTGACTCTTCCTCTTTCATGTTGCTTTTATCATTTGATTCTTTATCACTCTTCTCGTGTTCAGTGTCACTTGTTTGTTCATTTCTCGATCGTCTCACACGACCAAATAATTTCTTTGCAATAAACTTTGCTGTTTTAAACACGAAATTCTCCAAATAGTCTTCATACATTTTTGAAAGCTGTTATAATTGATATGAAAAATTATAAAAAGAAATAAAATTTTAAATTACTTCCGAAGGTTTTAACGGTTTTTTGATATTCAAAATATAACGGCTTTTAAAAATATGAAATGAAAAATCGTCTAAATTCAAAGTTTAAAAAGCCGTTAAATTGTGAAAACCATACAACAGTTTCAAATATAGGGAAAGGAAATTAAAAACTTACGAAAATAAAGTACACAATACACGCAACTACTAAGGCAATTCCTCCACATGATGCATATATCAACGATACTAATAAAGCAGCAACCGAAGCTGGAAATTTTTCTATAATTGTAATAACAGCATCAGAAATGACTGGAATAGGTAGATGTACAATTCTAAACAATAGCTTGTGAGCAATGCTTCCACAAAACATTATTCCAGCCCACATGAATCCAGTCAATAAGAATATGATAGCTAAAGCTGATCCATGGATAACAATTGATACTGTTAGTGATGTCGGTAAAGTTTCCGGCTTCGGTAAAACCTTCATCATTAAAATGAATTTAAAGAAGAGCCGTGACACAGTAACAATGAAAAATGGAGTACATGTTGCTAACGCTTTATGGAAGGTTCCACATTTAAATTCTTCTCCTTTTGGTGTCACTGACATTTGATGTTTTATTGCGAGACATAAGATTGCCACGAAATGAGCAGGTAACCAATGTGAAAACTGTTGAACAATCCTTGCCAATGTTTGACTTATTGACTGACGAACTGATATTGTGTATCGACAATCAGAATCAATCAAAAGCTCAATAGATATTGGATTTTGAGATGTATTGTAATTTAATGGACGAGATTTTGGTGTCCAAACAAATAAACTGTCACCATCTGTGAACTCATGGAATCTATCAAATCCAACTGTCCATGGCACACAAATCTTTGCTAAGCTCCGATGTCTTAAACAATTTCTAGGAGTTAATATTAATTCAAGTGCTTGATGTGTTTCGTCTAATCCTGTTAATTCCATTTTATAGTATGAAGCGCCTAAGAGAGTATCATCAAGTAGCTTAACTGTACTAAATGAGTAAAATTTGGGCATTTGGACCTAAATGGTAAGAAAAATAATTTACCGTTAAAAACTGTTTTTAATCATCAAAAAGATTTAAAATCACGAAAGTGAACTTACCTTAATCTCACGATCTGATGGATTATGGATGTCAACAGAAAACTGAAAAGGTTCACGTGTCGGTGTGAATTTTAAAAGAATATGTGTCCATCTAGGATTTCTTTCCTTTAACTCGTGAAGATTTAATGACAATGTGACTCGATCAGGTAATTCACTTGGAACTTTGACTATATAATTCGATAAGGACATGGCATTCGCACAATATCTAGATGATCCAGCTAAATCAATAGCTTCACATCCAAATACCCAATCGTCAGTTTCTTGATTAACAACATCAACTCGTATTGCACGATGGAGAATGTTATCAATAAGTCTAATCATTTGAACTCTTGTTCTATTAATTCCATTCTTATATTTTTCTGTAAAGATTCTTCGATTATCTTCAAACCAGTCAGCAACATTTGGCGACTCCATCAATCTTATTTTTCCATCATTACTAGCTAATTGGAGTCCAAGAAAATGTTGTTCAGCTTTTGCCAATCGAACTGCTTTATCGTCAATAAAACTCAAACCTTTTGAGTTCTTCTCCTTATATTTAGTCGGTGCTATGATACTGTATAAAAACCTATTAACGACTAAAACTACCTGAAGGCACCAAACGATACATTTGTGGTCACTCTCGACCCATACTTTGGACATTGCTGTTGACATGACATGTAAGTCGCTAAATTTTGAATCTGTTAATCCTGAATGTACCAATAAATCCTTATTTCCACCACCAATTGTTATGAGTAGTTTATCATCGAGTATTTTGCTTGATTCTGGGTTCAAATTCTTTGTTCTACATCTATAATGATCTGTGCATGAGTTATTTAAAGTATCTTGAACGACTTGTCGATTTTCTATCCAATAATCTTCAATTGAGTTGTAGAATTTATTAATGTAAATGTCCCAATTTAATACTGATTTGTCCATTGGGGATGCTAATGTAATGACTGTATTAATAAGCTTAGCAGTTTCCTGTGAGGTCAACAACTTTTGGACTAGCTTGCCACCAATTGAATGACCAACAATAATCAATTTTTTCGGTGGAAATTTCAATCGTTCATAAAGCTTCAATATAGCTTGTATTGAATGCTCAATAAATTTCACTTGATCTTCCAAGACACCTCCAAAAAGTGCTGAATATTCCTCATTTAAATCAACGGCAAAATAATCAAGATGCTGGAACCAATCATTATCGATTCCTTTGCGTAGTGCGACACTTGCTAGTGATCTTGACTGTTTATAGCTACCACTGTTTCCAGGAATAAATAAAACTGGAGCACCATTAAATATCATGTTCCTTACATTCACAGTTAGATGTCCTTCGGAATATGAGTACAAATTGTATCGTGGGAAATTGTCATTCTCCTTGAAGTTGATTCTCTAAAATATTCAAGACAAATTAAGCCTTAAATAACTTATGAAATTGATTCAACGTGCCATGGATTAATAATGTGGGATGTGTGGGAATTTCGGCATGTTTAATGAAGAAAACTTTTTTAAATTTAATGCGAGGCCAAGAATTATTTGTTCATTCCTCTAATTGCTACCTTTTTCTATCCTTACGTGAGAAAAAGTTTACAATTACATCAGTTTGGATATCTTCCAGAATAATATTTTAAGTATCAATGACACTTTTGCAAATCTATAGACTCATGGCTAAAAACAGCAGACAACTTATTTGCAAGAGCATGACTAGAAATTAACGGTTTTCATTTGAATTCAAAAATAAGTTGTACTAAATTCAAATTTTAGTACATAAAAACGTTATAATGTCAATCATCAAATTGGATTTCAAGGCACTCACTCCTCTTTTATCACCGATTAAACATTTGATTGCCTTTATTGATTATTATCATTAAACTCCTTGAAACTTTTAAATGCTATAAAGTTAAAACCCGATAAAATATTTAGCTTGTGCAATATCTCATCATGACATTGATTCTTTTATCTCGCACGGTCTCTCACTTTAGGAACCGATTTATTTTGGGAAGTTGTGAGTCATTAATGGGGAAAATGACCAAATTTAATTTTACATAATTTAAGCAAAAATATCATTGACTTACCACATAATTAGGGTGCTCAAACATGTATGTCATTTTGCAATCATTCTTATCGCTGTTAATTGAATTAAAGGTGACGAAAATACCATAAAAGTAAAGCGAAAAGCATAGAATTGCAAAAACTACAAAAATGCTGTAACCTGCCATCGTCTTTGCTTCTGGTTTACTTCATGCAGTTTAGTTCTGCTCCTTAAGCACTTCCGATTTCATGAATATACACTGTTTAACTCCTTTACGCGTATATAACTCAATTTTAAAGGAATAATAGCTTAACGCACAGCTTTAATTGTTCACAGTATAGCTTCAAACGCAAAACAATCACATCTTGTCGCACAGCTTTAAAAGAAACCAAAATATTGAAACTACAGAAGATTTTTTGGTAATTAAGCTTTGATTATGAATCATTCGCAGTTCCTGATATCTGGATTCCTTCGACCACCTTTCTATAATGGTGTTGGACGTCAAATAAACCAACTACAACGATTAACAATCAAGTTTTGCAAAAGTCATGGAGGTTCGAAAGGAATGCGCGATTTCATTGAAAATCATTTGGTTAATTATGCTAAGGAAAATCAAAGTGTCGTGGTAAGTATGACTTGCAATCAATGAATTAAACTGTATTCTACATTTATTCATACTTTTAGGTATATGTCAAGCCAAGAAGACATCGTTCTCCAGTTATCGTAGCTGAATACTGTAAGTTTTAAATTCCAATAGTTTGACATCAAAGAACTAATATTATTAACTTCCAGTAAATGGAGATAGACGTTGGATGTCAGCACAAAATAGAAATCATGAAGAAATCTTAAAGTGGTTGAGTTTGTTAAGTTTGCAAGCTGGAGATACAGAGCCAATTCGCTATAGAAAAAATTGGCATACAGACTGTCCATCGATTCAAGGACCTTGGACTCCATTTACTCACAAAAATCCTGCATTTAATAATATCGCTTTTCCAGACAAGGAATTAGGAAAGCAACTCAATATGCCTGAAACAGCGACAGAAAAGCTTTTGCGATTAGTTCAGGAGCAAAAAAATACTAAGAATGAATAGATTGTAATTCATAGATCATAGTGTCGTGTAATAAATTAGTACATTTTTAATAAAATATAAGAAGGAAGTAACTCAGAATGGCACATTTATCTCCAAATCTGTTCTTAAATACTTAAAATAGATTTTTGACATTAAAAAAATTCATCATTTAGTAAAAGTATATTTTCAACCTGCAGTATCCTTCAATTCTCCTCTATTCTGCATAAAGCTACATTTAAAACTCTGTAATTCAATACGATACACAAACATAAACTCAAAACGAAGAAAACAAATTTGTTCAAAAAATATTTAAAATAGAACCCTACAATTCCTTTCTATGCCCAATATCCATAATCATGCTTATAATAGCTTTTAAATCTTTTCGTAAGGCAAAAAAAATAATTGGAGTGAAGAATTGCCAAAAATAAAGTATAAACTTCTGATTTTTGTATTAAATTACATACTTCACAAATCCATAAATCGAGTTTTGTAGAAAGTGATCACGTTTTAGCCAAAAATTTTATTATAGAAATCAGTTACACTCATTTGAGTGATTTGTGCAGCACGTATAATTTTAGTCTCTGGCTATAGTTGCTGAACGTCTGTTGAGTACGTTTAGTTATAAATTGATTGGTAGATGTAATAATAAAAATTGTGAATAAAAAATTAATTCAAGTGCTTAAAACGGAAGAATCAATTCATTAAAGTAAGTCACATTTAATTATTAGCCCGGAAATTTTAAGGATATATAAAAATCCACAAGAAATAAATTCAATTCTGTTCTTAAAATTCCAATTAGAAAATTCAGCCTTCAAACTTTAAAAAAATTTCTCCTTGCAAAATCCAGTTAATTGAAAAAAGATCTTAATTGTCTTAATTAACAGCGCGTATTTAACAAGTATTAATTAAATCACCCACATTTAGGTTTCAACATGCCTAGATATCGTGAATGGGATTTAAAGTGTAAAGTTTATGTCGGAAATTTAGATCAGCGAGCAACAAAACATCAAGTAGAAGACATATTTAGTAAATATGGACCATTAAGGAACGTTTGGGTAGCTAGAAATCCACCAGGTAAGTTATCACACATGTCCAAATGAAATCAAGTTTTATGATCATTTTGGATCATTAATTGTATAAACAATAAGTGTAACATGACATTTTGCAGGTTTTGCATTCGTTGAATATGAAGATAATCGTGATGCAGAAGATGCTGTTCGTAATTTGGATGGATCTCGAGCATGTGGCTCTCGAATTAGAGTAGAAATGTCAAATGGAAGAACAAGGCATGATGGTCGACGTGGAGGTGGAGAAAGATCAGATAGATCAGATCGAGGAGAAAGAAGGCGTTCAGATCGTGCAGGCGAAAAAACAAGATACAGGTTTGAAACATGTTTTATTAATGACCTTAATTACTAACACGAAAAGTATCACAATCTAAAAACTTATTTTAGTAGATTGAATTACCAGAAATAATTTATTACCTTACTAATGATGGGATCTTTTAGATTCTTTTTTAATAATGACAAAAATCCTGTCATAGAAAAAGTTGATGAGTTTTTTTGGTGGTCTTTTGTTGTATCTCAAACAGTCAGGAAGTTTTTGCTAGAAGTCATTTAAGTTTAAGTCATGTATAATTTTTATGTGTTCATCAGCTAGAGAAAAGTTTCGCATTTTCCCTTTGAGAACAATCATTGCTTTAATCTTATCTAATTCTGTAAATGGATTTTTATCTTTTTCGTACCTTAGTCGAAGATTACGAGATTAAAAACCGTTACAATTTAAATTGAAAACCTTACAAATGTTTGAACATTTATTAAACATTTGTAATGCTTTATTTTGAAAAACCGTTAAATTTTTAAAAAATGTACTTAAGCCACGTGTGATTGAAGGGGAAATGCGCATTGTTAAATATCAAAAGTCTTACTTATTTTTGAGAGCAATTTTAATGAAATAGCAAATACCTGATGACAATTTTTCAGGCTTCATCAATACCATCACAACAGCTTCACATCCTCCACCACATCGCTTCTTTCGACCCTACATCAATTTCGCAGTTTCCTTCTCAAGTTTACAGTGCATCTATATACATCTCTCTTTCCAACTTGAACTTAAAAATAACTTTGTCTATGAAATATCAAAAAAAGATTAAGACATGCTTAAATGTGTCTCTTGTGGGGAATAAATGAGCGGCGCGCGAGATGAGCAACTTGCTAACAAATATCAACGTTCTCAAAACATGTCCATAAAGATTCAAATTTTAAAAGACCACTCAACTTAAGGCCACCAACCAATCAACAACTATTGCACCTCTTGTTTTGCCTCTGTCTACTCTGCCGATTGTCTCAGAATTCAAACAAGCATTTTTGTTAATCGCTTTTCATCATTTTAACTTAATTAATCACAAAATAAGTAGCAACAAACTATCTATCAGCATAATCATATCACACACCACCTCCAGCTCGTTTGCAAATGTTTTCCTTCAACTCAGCTTAACCGTGTAGCTCGTGTACTCCATCCCTTCTTCTTCTACATTCAAACGTTCACACACAAATCTTTCAATGATTCCAAAAATAAATACTGTCAATTTTGAGAATGTGTCGCATTACATCCCACATTGTAATCAGCCAAAGTCAAGCCGTTTTCAACATGCCTCCGAATGTTAATTATTTTCTTAAAACAAAAATAATAATAATCACCAAAACACTTACTACCAACCATAATAAGCATAAATTCATGAAAGAAAATTGAGTGGATATCTTTCTAAAATTCTCTTCCAAACAGGTCTAGAAGTCCTCGAGACCGTTCTCGAGATCGATCAAGGAGCCCAAAAGCTAGATCACCACGCAGATCACGTCGTTCAAGGAGTGAGGAAAGTCGATCTATGTCACGTGATCGACGTTAAATTAAAATTTATTAAAAACTTTTTGGAATTAATGAATTTAAATTTTTTTCGTGCATTTTAACATTTTTTTCTTTTCTTTGAGAAACAGGACAAACATTAACATTAAATTGATTATTTGAATTTAATTATGTTGGAAAATACAAATTTTTAACATTGATAATTTATTCTATTGAACATACTTTAAGGATTTTACTTTTTCTTCCTTTCACAAGTTTTCTTTGAGAAAAAATGAGAGAAATATGAAATAAAACCTATTATCGAAACTTAATTACAGTCTTGTAGAATTTGTTGAAAATCCGTTTAAAATAACGGTTAAGAATCTTTTAAAAATTTGAATTTGAATTCTATCCTTTCAGAAATTGGCGCGAAGTTTTCTAGTATAATTTTCTTAAATTGTCATTTTGTCAGTCATTCATTATGTCAAAAGAACCAACTCCTTAAGAACCCTTTCAATATATAAATCTCGATTCATAATAATCACATCAAATAATCAATATAGAATTATCAATTAATTGAGGAAGCTATATTCTGAGTGTCGTGCTCGACGGGCTATCAGACTAGTGTAATATGTAAACAACAATTTTTATCAAATTCTCAAAATTATTTAAATTAATAAAATTATCTGTGTTTAATGCATTTAAAACCTGATTAAGAAGACCAATAAACTATATTACTTACAGTAGTGTAAATATAACTAAGTGACACAACATGATTCCAACAAATAAGCTCAAAAAATTAGTCTTAGAATGTATTATTAGACTGATGGATTCTGTGACTACACAAGATATATGGGATGGTTGTGCAAATGAGATATTTGTAAGTATGATTATGACTTAATTAATGTTGCTAAGTCTATGACAATTAATTCATTTACAGCAAACGACAGAACAACGCTTAAATTCACTTCAAGTTAAAGAAATATTCTATAAGGAAATTCTGCCGGATCTTTCATACAATAACTTTGGAAACGACAATAAAACAGTTGAAAAACTGAAAAACTTAAGTAAGAAAATAATCATTAATCCACATCAGTTTGATTCTAAAGACGAAAATCTTACAGAGTGGACTCTGAATAACAACGATTCTAATGATGGAGCTAGTTCAATTAATTGGATAGAGGTTGATAGAGCTCTAGATGAACCAGATAATACAGTGGAAATGAAAATGGCATGTCTACATTCGGAAAATTTAGATGAAAACACAGAAGAGCAAAGCATATTGACAGATAACGAGAATGATGGAGATAACAGTATCAATGAATTATTAGTAAAGTATGATATTCCAGGACAGGTTCGAGCTGTCCAAGATCCATTTATATCTCAAGAAAGTGAGCAAATATTTTCTTTTCGAGAAAGTCAGCTTATCAATGTTTTTGGCGCTGTTGAAAGTGATCCACTTGCTATGAAGTCCAATGAAGAAATTCCAAAGGAAGGGAATAGCTACGATTCATATGATTCCTTATGTGATGGAGGACGGTTATTAGATTATACTGAAGTGTCTAATCATATAAAAACATCAGTGGCTTGTGTTTCCTTTGAAAGTACAGAACATTTACTAAAACGAAAATACAGTAGCTTGACAAATGTCAATTTGACAACAGATTTTGATCAAGACAATACAGAAGTTTCTTTAACAAAACGAAGAAGATCTAATTCATTGCAGGCATTTCAATTTTCACTACTTTCTGATTCTGGAGAATCCGTTGAGTTAGCATCAATAGTGCAGCGACTTGATGAGAGTTCACATGAGAACAATGAAAATGTGATGGCTGATTCTAGTAATAAATCGCAAGACAATAATAACTTTAGCAAGGAGACATCAAATATAGACAACAATGAAAATAAAAAGTCAACAGATGAGATTGTGGCTAAAATACAAATGAGAATCAATAATGCGGTGAAAAATGGTGAAGAAATATTAACAATATTATTAGAAAATGAGGAGTATATATCAATGCTCGAAATACCATCTTTTTTGCCTAAATCCCCTATTAATGATGAGCCTCGAAATAGAGAAGAAAAGAAAAATGACAGCCAAAAAAGTATTGAAAACACTGAAAGTATCTCACAACCAAAAGTTAAGCCTGCAAGAACAAAATATGCCCGAGCTTTACAAATCTACGGTCCAAAACTAACGTATGAAAGTTCTCAAGGCTCTGATCCCACAAATACAGAAGAAACTTTAAATCCTTTACTGCTGAATGATACCGTTTTGTCAGGTTCACACAAAGATTGCATTGGGGAAGTTAAAGAAATAACATTAATTTCTTCGTCGCAATCATTATCATCTTCACATGGATCTCAATCATCAAAATCTCGTGGATTACAATTTTCTAAATCTGGGTCTCAATTATCAACCTGCTGCATATCTCAATCTCAAAATAATTCAGCTCAATTACAACAATCTCCAGAAAAAACAGAATTATGTTCAAAAGGACATGAGGATGAAGTTATCAAAAATATTCAGGCATTACTCGATGCGGCAAAAAGTTCTGAAGAAATTAACAGAATTATCGATGAAAATTATGAATTTTGTGACTACTTAGTAATTCCTTTTCATGAACCGGATGACAATATTTCACAAATAACGAGCCATGAACCAAATGAAAAGGCTGCAAAATCAAAAGATGAAATAATTGCAGAAATTCAAAAACAGCTTGACGCTGCACTTGATCAAAACACAATTGAAAAAATTTTGGATGAGAATGAAGAATATTCAGAATACTTAACAGTCCCATTTTTCATGCCACCTTTAAGTCACGAAGCACAGCCAATTCCAAAAAATTGTACCAAAAAAGTTATGCAAAAAACACGAAATGAAGGAAAGCAAGTTAAGACTGAAAACAATATTCCAGAAACTGATAATTTGGAAAGAAGTTCATCGCGAACAGAACTGTCATTTCTTTTAATGCAGAATGTGAACATTAAAAAAAGAAGAGCAGTTTCGCAACCAAAAAAGCTCGAAGAAAATCTTATTATTGATCTTGTTGATGATTCTGATTAATTTTTATAATAAAGATTAATGTTTTAAAACTATTTTAAAATCAGTGCATTATAGTCAGTCTGTAATTGGACCTTATATCAATGCAGCATAGGTACGGAAAATATGCGTATTGATTAAGTGTCTAAATTCTTAAGGTATCAAAAATCGATGGTTCAGGTTGAATTAAATAAAACTTGGATACTTACAGAATCAAATTTTGTATCCTCTTGATTACAGCAGCCACAATAAAGACTTGATCGAACAACAAGATTTAGTGAAACAAATGAACTGGCAATCATCGTTGTTATGACATATTTTATTTTGCTGCGAAAGAGAAATAAGAGGAATGAACCAAAATATCTCAATTTTCATTTTCATGTGCTCAAAGGTAATTTACTTACTCGTTATTGTTGTTGATGCCTTCACATAATTCAAGAAAAGAAAGGAAAATTCTGTCCTTGTTTATCGTTGTCAGTTGCTAGCACCGTTGCGACAGACTACTATGTTTTCTGCACTTCAATTTTCTTTCTTACCCTTGAGCTTTCAACTTTTTAGTACGTTCTTGTTAAAAAGGTATGCAGCAAATGAGAACATTTTGTCAGCATTAATAGCCAGTTGCTGAAACTTTTTTGTCATAAATTTATCATGAGCAAAAAAAAAGTCTTAAATTACAAAAGTGTGGTATGTGCTGCGCTTTGTTAATGACACTTTGAAATAGTCATTCAAACTTTATCTCCTTGAAGATATTATTACAGTAAGCAAGCGATTCTTGATTAATCAAGGGACACATTTTTTAATTTATGAAAAACAACAGAAGATGGTGGAAGAAGATGCTGGATTTTTCTTTTTGAAAGAGATGAAAACTCAAGAAACTCTCAAATAAAATTCCCATTATGTCATCTATTAGAGGCACATTTAGGCATTCATTCTTAATATCTTTTATTGCTCTTCAGGGTGTAATGTTTTCCCTTGGAATTTCTTACATTGTCAGCAACAACCTAGAAGTCTTGTGAAATACTTGTCATTTTTGTCTTGACAAGAGTCATAAGCATTTTTCATTACATTTCTGTTGCTGTGTTGAGATTATCTGATTATTTTCTTCGATTGTCAAAAGGAATGTAATATGATCTGAAAACATCATCAGAATTTTTAAGCATCACATATATCCATTGAACATAGAAAGCAAAAGCATGTAAATTTCTTCTTTAATAACTTTACGCATAAAATCTATCATAAATTTTGTTTGTGAAAATTTCTTATGGGGCCGTTCACTTATTACGTTCGCATTTTAGGGGGGGGGGGGGGGGGGTTGAAAAATTAAAACAAAATGTAACATAGAGGGGGGGGTGTCAAGTTCACGAAAAAAATTTGAATTATGAACGTTCAGGGGGGGGGGGGGTTGCGAGTTGTAACATGTTCTAACAAGAGGGGGGGGGGGTGAAAAAAATCGGTTTTTTGCGTAATGTAATAAGTGAACGGCTATTTAAAAATAGCTTTATGATTCATTAAAGTAGCCACTTTGGGACTAGAATAATAAATTTCGATAATGTTTTATTAGGTTTTGATGTAATGCAACTTTTTTTCTTCGTCTTATTTTGGGGCCATTAATTTATTATGTAAAGGCTTTTCAAACCTTAAAGCGAGTTTGTCCAACATTTCTGCCTGCAGCAAAAGCTTTAAAGATATTGCCACTTTAATCTTTCACTTGATGTATGAGCGAACTCCAGACAGTAAATCATTAAAAATTGATGACTAAAACTCAACCAAATTGTATACAGAATGTTAAGATGAAAAGGTAATAGTACATTAAAAGAAGGCCCAAGATATCAAAGCTAGCTCTTTTAGATATTAATACTATTTAACAAAAGGTATGCAACTTTTTGAAATTGATACAGTTCTTCTGGCTAAAATTCTTAACCGAAGGGTAATTCCATGAGTGAAAAAAATTTTGTTGCACCAATTTTTCAAAAATATTTCCTTAACTAAGAACTTTGTACTCCAAATTGTAACTTTATTATGTTTATTAACACAATATTTATCTCCATATGTGAGAATTTCACATCAGAAATATGTCTAATTTTTATTTTTTTAATAAAAGTAAAATTAATCGGTCAAGTTTTCGAAAAATCGTTTTCTAAACATTTCCTAATATTTACTTAAATACACACTTCTATGTTCCAAAGTTACTTTTAACATATTAGATATTAGCCAGGCTTTTGTTTTATGTATAATTTGCATTCCTTAATGCTGTAATTAAGAAGAAAAACCAAAAACACTAGCATTAATCGGTCAATTTTTGACCGATTATTGCAAAACAGAACACTGAAAAAATTTCAAATTCACAAAAACCGTTAGACTTTCTTGATTTTACTTGTAAGTTTATTAGATTTATTTGATTTAATGGAGCAAGTAACTCAAGTTTCAAAACATTAAAGATCATATATATTTGTACCATCTCTCTTTGATGATATTGCGGCTAATTCACTTGTAAAAACAACAAAACGTTAAGAAATTATAACGGTTTTGGGAAATTTGAATTTTTACAAGTAGAGAAATATTGTATAGTGCTTTTTCACAGTTCTCATTACTCATGGAATTACCCCGAATTAACAACTTGAATATTTTTTCTTGCTCATATCTTGTTCTAAAGACAATTAAAAACATTGTTGCGTCTGGAATCGTTCTAAAGACTATTCAAATCTTTAAAATTGTCCACTCATATCCTATTTTCAAGTGATAAAGAATCAGCGATAATACATAAAATTCTATTTTTGAATCCTTAAGTTTGATTACCAATCCTTGAATTTTCAAATTTCACTGTCATTCACAAAAGCTTGTATAACTTGAATCTTCTTTAAAGCAAGCTCTGAAGTTATATAAGCATATACTTGTATGATACCCAATTGTTCCTAAAACGTCACATCTGTTTGAAGAGAAATAAAAATGTTGGTAAAAGATGACCTAGGAATAGATTCAATTTTCCATCTTTAAAAGGAATGTCTTATCAATTCATAACAATCAAATGAAAATGTTGAGTACTTGAGAATTCTCAAGATGATTCTCAATAAGTTCCGATGTCACAGAGGAAATATTTACAATTGATGATAATCATTTATATGACATTACATTCTCAAGCATTCAAGTTAAATTGAGAGTGGAGCACTTGAAGCAAATTTAAACAAGTATTTCCACAATAAGAAAGAGTCAAGAAAATGTTTATTTTTTGAAAAGGAAGTGGCTTTTCGTGCCAAAGTGACTTTTTCCTCTTATTTGTTTATGAGTAAAATGCTTATGTGTGCCTTTCGCGTATGTTCATTTTGCACAAATATATTTTATATTTTTGCATGCACGAGTAAGGATTTCGGTACTGTAATTGCAAATGTTAGGAAGTGCATTGGTAGATTTGAAGGATTTTGAATATAATTTATAACATAAAGTGTCGTCAACTAATGTCGACCAACTTTTAGAGGAATGGCGAATTAAGGAAATGGCATTGATGGTGGTTAAATGATATAGGAGATATAGTCTTTCTGAAGCTAAAGACTTTCTTTCTCTATGCATCTTCATTGCAAAAATAATGGTCATGGATGTACAGAATGGCTTTAATTATATGATGACAAAAAATTAAACGCAAAATTCATTCAGGGCTCAGTTATACTTTATAATGTCCAGATCTTGAAATTGGTACAAACTTCAGTAATTAACTATAGACGTAAGAGTACGGATCAATAGATTGTACTCGAAATAACTGTAGTCGCAACTTATAATTCTTTAGAAGAAACGATCCAACCCGACGTCAAATTAAGCCTTTGTAATCAAGCACAACCACTTCGACAAACAGAATTTGAAAGCCCATATCTCGCCTCAAATTAGCTAACAATCTGTTTTTTACAGAATCACTGTAGTAAATGCGAGACAAGACAATAAAAATAACTTTCAGTTACAATTCATGTGTAAATTTCCTTCGAAGTAAAAAGTAGGAGACATATGCAAATAAAATTTTGGAAGAATGTAGAATGTGCTGCTCCAACTTTTATGACATCTTAAAAAATGTCTTTTAGAGGCACTTTACACTCATAAAAAAAAGTTAATAAATCTTATTAAAAATGTATGAAAAAGTTTGATAAAAGTTATTAAAAATACATCTTGCAAACTTTTATTAAACTTTAATAAGTGTTGTTAAAAATTCTTGATTTTACAAAAATATTTGAATTTTACAAAACCGTTAAAATTTTAATAATCTTTTTATTAAATTTTAATAAGTTTTTTTTAAAAATCATCATGCTAGAATTTAGTGGGAAAATACCAAAATTTAATAAAAATTTACTAAAATATTTTATTATGCTGAAAAGTTAAATGAAATTAAAAAGAAATAATTAACTTTTATTTTGTTTTTTATTACAATTTATGTTTTAATGAAACTCCAACAATTTGGAATTCATACTTATAATTCATTACTCATAAGTTCATCAGAGATGAGTTTTTCTAAAGATCGACACTTAGGAGCAAGCTCACATTTTTGATCTAACAAGTTAGAAGCAATAAATTCATGAACATTTTTACTACATAGCATAGGTTGCATAGGTTGAATACAACAAACATTTGCAAATATGTTTTAAATGTAGTACAAAAGTCAGTAAAAGTGTACATAAAATCATCAAAAATTAACATGAATCTATTGTTTATAATACTTTCAATATCGTCGCCTATACAAAAAATCACCGGCTGAAGAGTTTGCTTTTTTAATTGAATTTTTTCACGGAGACTCTGAAGCTTAATCTTTAAAGAGCCTTCACTTGGAATAATGCTGATCATCTGCTCGAAACTGTCTTCAATTGTTTCTCTAATGTGTGTATTACTACGAGAGTACAAAAATCCATGTAGACCATACAAAACTGTTATTGACTTTGATTCCTCAGACATATCATCAATCATATCTAGCTTTGATATGATTCTCTGGTTTGCTATATTTTTAGACAATACTTTGGACAGTTGTGTTTTTAATCGACTCCAATTTTCCTCAAATAAAACATTAGGACACAACGAATTGAAATCTGAATCCACCTGAAAGGAACATAGAAGGACGTTAAAAAGATTTAAATGATTCAAACATTTTCTAAAATTACAAACCAAAAAATATCCGTCACTACGACTATAAC